ACACAGTAACAACAAGTCTCATGATGGAGACGTTACTGGGCCTGCGCAAGCAAATCGATGAACAACGGGAGGACCGTGACCGTGATATTTTGGTGAGGTCTGTCCCAAGATGGTGGAGTCTGGCCAGGTCGTGGCAGCGATTATGGATCGTGGAAACAAGCAGCTGCTGGGGGCTCTGCTTGGGCAGCAGGCTGACCCACCTTCCTCCAATTTATCCATCTGTTCAGCCCTGTGCAGGTTCCAGATAACTGTGGCTTTTGGTCTCTTTCAAGATTTATTTACAGGTCTCTGATGCAAGGCCTGTAGAAGGGCTTACATGGTGTCACTGTAGTTGGATTGTGGGGGTGTCTGCCAGAGCTTCAAGGAGTATAGGGAAGTGGGAGGAAGTAGCCCATCCCAACGCTGAAAGAGCCTTGAGATTACAGTCACAAAAACCCGCACGACCAAATTTTCAGCTGAGTGTATCTCGGTGAGGTACATTCCAAGACAGTGGAGTTCAGATAGGAATAGGGTAGAGATTTAGGGTTGTGGGGGCAAGTGGCTACCAGGGGTTCTGGTTGGCTAGGCACCAGGCTGACGCACAGTCTTCCAATTTATCCCGGTCTATTTAACCTTGTGTGGGTCTAAGATTAGCTGCTGCTTTTGATCTCTTTCAAGATTTATTTATGGATCTCTACAGCCAGGCCGATAAAAGAGCTTGTATAGCTGAGCTGGAGGTGGTTTATGGGTGTGGCTTTAGGCTGTTAATTTCTCAGGAAACTTGGTCCTGAATTGTTGGTGTCCAGTCAGAGGAAGAGTAGCAATTTGGGGGTATCAGGAAGCCCAAAGTCACCATCAGGCTGCTGATGCACTCATCTCACAGGTATAGGTTGACTTGCTCATGGCACCGCACCCCTAGAAATCAGATTTTTTACTAGTAAAATTTTTCAACCACAGGTATTTTTTGGGAAATCTCTAGAACTTTCTTTCCCTCTTCCATAGACGCTCTTATTTTGGTTTTTACATTTCTGTTGAAAATGATAAAGTAAAACATGATCAATCTGACCCAGATATTTATTCCCACAAACTAGGTTTTTAATTTTCATATACTCAAATATTTTAAAATTTATTCACTAGTTTAATGACACTTGACAGTTCCAGTTCTCAGCATTACCAACAGTACCAGGACACATTTATACACATCTCTATATACAAGTGCAAGAAAATCCTAGTGTTTACTCTTAACGTTGTTGGGTTGAAAAGTATTACATCTTCAGCCTTGATAAAGTGCCAAATTCTTCTCTAAAATGAGAGAGTAAAGTGGAAATCATCTGCCACACAGGCAGGGGGAGGGTTGGGACGGGGGGGTATAGGGATATACTGGGTTTCTTGGTGGTGGAACATGTGCAGGAACATGTGCACTGGTGAAGGAATGGGTGTTTGATCATTGTATGATTGAGACTTAAACCTGAAAGCTTTATAACTGTTTTCACGGTGATTCAATAAAAAAGAAAAAGAAAACAATTCTTTTCTAAAACGATTCTACTAGAGTATCACACTCATAGAGCCTTGAAATAGATGCAAAAACATCTCAATATTGTTTACACAGTCCCTTCTTGAGATTAATTATGCTTTTGTATTTTCTCTTCCATATGGATGTCATTTTTGTTATTTGCCATTTTAATGTATATAGATTTTTTGTTTCGGGGCCATACCCAGCGGTGCTCAGGGTTTACTCCTGGCTTGTACTCAAGGATCACTCCTGGCAGTGCTGAGGCACCATATATGGTGCCACAGATCAAACCCGGCACATGAGTCCAGACTGTACTGGGAAAGGTTACTCCTGGTGATGATCATGGGACAAAGTGATGCTTAAGTTTGAGCCAGGGTTAGCCACATGTAAGGCATGTGTTTTAATTTCTGTACTGTCTTTCTGACCCAAAGTTAATTTTAAACTAACCCAAATTATCAATCTTTTCCTTTAAGGCATTTTTCCTGCGGTAATTCCTCCCTACTCCTAGGGATACAAGGCATTCTAAATAATTCAACTCTATTTTTCATCCTGTCCACCTGGAATATTTTTAAATATTTATCACGGAGGGAACATGGTTATAATAGTGTTAATGTTGATTCTTTTGCTGCTTTCCACCACTGTCCTTGTATCTATATATAGAATGAAGCATTATCGACTATAGTCATCAGTATAGTACACTGGATTCCCCAAGACCTATTCATCCAACAACTGGGACTTAGTGCCCTTTGACCACCTCCCCCATACCCCAATTTTTAACCACCAGTCTATTTTTAAGAGTTTGACTTCATATTTATCCAAGACCTTGTAGTAGTTGTATTGTATCTTTTTTAGTGCAAGGCCACAAGTTTGATCTCTGGTTCCAACCATCACATGCATCAAGCAGGTACCTGGAAGCTCTTACTGACTGATACTCTCTGCAACATTATGTTCAGCCACAATGCATCCAGATGTGTGCAAAGCTAACTAAAGCAGTGGGACTTCATAGTAAAGGACATTGAAGGACATGCAAGCACCCCAGTGCTGGGGACCAGCCCCAAGTGAACAGGTCTGAAGCTATGACACCACAAGGATTAAGAGATAGAAATGAGAGAAAAAGCACAGGATCAGGAGCTAACAGTCTCATGGACTGAGAGCCCTAACTGTCGGCATGAGCAGTATTTATTGCTTAGAACCAATAATCATTAAAAGGAGAAGAACGACATTCTTCAGTCAGGTGCCTAACAATCTTGATCAATCTGGGTTAAGCAGTAACATATCCCAGGGCGTTAGTTTATCGGGATAAAAATAAATGTAAAGACCTTTTTCAAGGGGAAATTCTAGGAGCACTCAAGGGCAGCATTCATCTCTAGATCCAGAATACTGGATTCTGGTTCCCAACACCTTAGAAAGTGCAAGGATTCCCAAAGGACACCCCAACAAGTGTTTGAGCACTGCTGGCACCTCCAGGAGTACTATAACCAGAATATGCATGAGTACATCCAAGTAGAGCACAGTCCTTGATGAGCACTTTGGCAGGCGAGCACCACTGTGAGGGGTGCTCTACACCCAACAACCATCATGATGAAGGAAAGGAAATATTAAGTTCCACAATGAGATTTTGTTTTGGGGCCACACCTAGTGATGCTCAGGGGTTACTCGTTGCTCTGTGCTCAGGGATCACTCCTGAGGGTGCACTGGGTATGGCCACCTGGGTAGGGGCCAAAGCATAGTAAGAATGGGCAGGGTGTTTGTCTTTCATATGGCAGATCTGGTTCCATCCCTGGCATCCTGCATCCCATATGGTCTCCTGAGCACCACAAGGAGTGATTCCTAAGTGCAGAGCCAGAAGTAACCCCAAGCACAACCAGGTGTAGCACAAAAAATGTCACTGTCACTGTCCTCCCGTTGTTCATTGATTTGCTTGAGCGGGCCCAGTAACGTCTCCATTGGAGACTTCGTTGTTACTGTGTTTGGAATATCGAATACATCACGGGTAGCTTGCCAGGCTCTGCCGTGCAGGCGAGATACTCTCGGTAGCTTGCCGGGCTCTCCGAGAGGGGCGGAGGAATCGAACGAGAGGGGCGGAGGAATCGAACTCCGGTCGGCCATGTTGGCTGTGTGCAAGGCAAATGCTGAGCTATCGCTCCAGCCCCAGCACAAAAAACAAAAACTAAAAAGTTGTTTCAATCCAAGCTTATAGATACAGAAAACAGACTGATGGTAGTCAAGCCTGAGGCAAGGGTTGAACAAAGGCAAAATGGGTGAAATGTACAAACTTCCAGTTATAAGTCAGAAAGGCAAATAAATGTAGAAAATGGTCTGCAGTTAATACTACTACTATATTGCACCCTTAAATAAGGAGTGACTCTTAAATGAGGAAGAAAAAACAAAGTATGACTGTAGGGTATATTCATAACATCACTGACATCATTTCACAGTACAAATATGGAATCTTGTTGTATACCTGAACCCAATATATAATATTACATTTAGAAGTGTCAATTACATTTAGAAGTGGATTCTATTTACCTCTCCTCTCCTCTCTAATTGGTACTCCAGATAGTTAAAATCTGTAATACTAATCTCATTATACCAGCCACATTAAATCAGTTCATTAAATCAACGTGCCAATTTAGGATATCAAGTTCCCACTAGACTTCCTATTAGTCACATCTCTGTGAAGACAAGTGGAGGGAATTGCTGTGTAGCCATAGCTTGTACCTATTTTTCTAACCGAGGAAAAGCACTGTGTGCTTCCACACGCTTGTTCTTTCCTATAAGTCCATCTGTGTCAAATCATCAGTGAGACTCAGGGCCCAGAAGTGATAGTACAGCGGGTAAGGCACTTGCCTTGCACGTGGTTGAGTTGGGTTAAATCACCTGCACCCCATGTGGCCCCATGAGCACCACCAGGAGTGATCCCTGAGCACAGAGCCAGGAGTAAGCCCTGAGCATCACCAGGTGAGAGCTCTGAACACCACTGGGTGTGGCTCCCAAACCTTCCTATGTATCTATAATTATATAAAGGCTCACATAGCCACCGGGGCCCGTATCTCATTTGCGCTTTTCAGCAACCCTGGGGTCACACTGGAACACGAGCAGAAAGAGAACTGCTGCTCCTCGACCACCATGCCCGTGAACCCCGCACAACTGGCTCAACACACCCCGCAAAAGTCACGGCTTTGGGGACAATGACCAGAGCCCGGCCACTGCTCTATTCCCCCGCCAGGGCCTATCCCTGACGCCGCCCCGCCGCGCCTCGGATTCCCGGGCAGCGACCACACTCCGCGCCGCCCACTGCCATCTACCCCGCCCTGCCCGAACCAGGAAACCACGGCCAGTGCGTCGCGCCCAGGTTCCCGCCCGGGCGCCGAGCGCATAGGGCTCATCTGCCGTCAGTCCAAGGGTCACCCACTTATAACAGAGGCCTATTAATCCCGATTAAGCTCCTGCCAGGCGGGCCCACTTTCCTGCGCCCCGCGCGCCCGCTCCCCGAGGCCGCTCTAGCCGCGAGCAGCGCCCAATCTCGCTGCTCCGGTGACGTCATCCGCAGGCGCCGCAGCGTGGTGGCGGGCACGCGCAGCCTAAAGATGTCTCCCACGCCACCGCTCTTCAGTTTGCCCGAAGCGCGGACGCGGTTCACGGTGAGCAGGTTGGGGGTTACGGTGCCTACCTGACCCGGGATGAGCTCGACCCTCAGGCCCTCGGCACCCCTCGAGTTTTGCCGCGGTGGGGCGGGCGCCGCGCCTCGGGCCCCCGGAGCCCGCCCCGCTTCCTCCCCGGGGTACCGGGGCTCCGCGGCGGCCTTGCTCGGCCGGGCGGTCGGCGGGATGTTGGCTGCGGGCGGGCCTGGCTCCCGGGAAGCGGCCGCGAGGGGCACCGGCCGGCCGGCCGGGCGCCGAACCTGCAGCCCGCGCCCTCGACAGCGGGGAGAAAAGGGACGGGGCAGGGGTGCCAGCTGCTTTTCATCTTCATACGTTAAGGAAGAGGGGTTGTGAGCCCCTCCCGCCGCGTTTCGCTTCGCTTGTTTATAACCGAACGGCGGATGTTTTCGTCCCTGGCAGGTTGAGAGAAAGCGAGAGATTCTCTCTCCCAGCTCAAGCTGGTGATTTCTTTGGTTTTTCGGATTCTTACCCGGTGTTTTTATGTTCCATTCCGCGCCCCCAGGATGGAGAGCCCCGCTTGAGGCTATTTGTCATTAACATTTGTACCAGTATTTCAAGCCAGGATTCAATTTCTCAGATATTCGACTGTGCTTACATAGTTCTAGTGATGCCATAATGAAAAGACGGGGATAGGGGTGTGGGAATCTGTTTCTTTATAGACTTAATTTTGTTTGCGGGAGCCATTTTTTCCCCTCCATGATCGGGTTTGGTTTTTTTTTTTTTTTAGACTAGATTGTATCTTGTTATTTCGTCATCCAGATCTTGCGTTGCCTATGTGCATTTTGCTGTAATCTTTGGTCTCTGAAATTCTGAAAACAACGCTTAGAAATATCCAAAATCACGTAAGAGCCAGGAAAGCACCATTTAATTAGAGGTAATTTAGCGCACTGCGTCTCAATAGTCAGTGTGTGGAGGATCCCCCCCCTCCCCCCCACACACCGAGATCTCATTAAATGTAGATTCAACATTCATTGGGTCTGTGATGAGGCCTGAGATTTGCAGGTTGATTTTGGAGGGGGCACACCCGCAGTGCTCAGGGATTATTCCTAGCCCAGTGCTTGGGGATCACTTCTGTCAGTGCCCCGGAGCCCAGATGGTATGCTGGGAATCAACTCCAGCGCATGTGTGCAAGGCAAGTGCCCTACCTGCTCTCCTACTGCTCCGACCACAAGAGATCCCCATTTCTAACAAGTCCCCAGCTGCGCCAAGGTAGTTGCTGGTATAAGTACGAGTCTTACTTAACTGAAGAGGAGTGGCCCAAAGAGAAAGGGTACACGGCCTATTCCTGCTAGAGCCAAAATTGAACATTTTACAAACAAAACTATGTGAGGTAGTAAACTGATTTGACAACTCTATGTGAAATTTCACAGAATAAGTGACTTTGCAGTATTTTGTCTTTTAATTATGTCTAGAACAGCAGAATTTTTTTTTCAGTACTTAACGTGTTGAACAAGCTGCCTCGAAGAGGTAACAGAATAGACTGAATTTGAATGAGCAGGTGGGAAGAACAACAGGAATATGTGAATATGCTAGAGTGAGCTTGACTAAAAATGTTGACATATGAGTGGACTTAGTGGAGAGTAAGTTTTGAAAGATTGAATGGAATAACCTTTTCAAAAACGAAAACATGTAAATAAAGATTCCCTTTGAGATATTTTTTGAAAGTAGAATACCAGAGGTCCTTAGATAATCTTCCCGAATAACATCATGTCATTATAACATGAGAAAAAAGCTCCTTATCCAATGATTGGAGGGACCTACTGTATTATATTCTTCTGCCTCCAATTTGTGGGGCTCTTATTGATAACATTTAGAGATAGTTCACTGTAACTCTGGGAATGTGATACAGGATGGGAAGAGGTAAAATTTGAAATAAAGAAGTCTAACTGGGGTGTTCTTATGCTCTTATCAGACTGAAAGTGATGAGAGTGTGTAATAGAAAATGGACTTGGAAGAGTTTACTAATAGAATGGCCAGTAATTTTTTCCAGGCTTAAGCACTTTTAGTTAAACACACCATTCAAAAGTGATGTTTTTCAGCCCATAATAAACAGAGTCGTTCCTATTATTAGCTGTTTTTATTTTTTCAGAAGTCTACCAGAGAGGCCTTGAACAACAAAAACATCAAGCCATTGTTAAATACCTTCAGCCAGTTACCTGGGAGGTAATGCATTGATACCCATGAAATGTATGCCTCTTTATAATTAATGTGAGCTATTTTCAAACTGCAAGTGTCTTTTGTTTTTAATAGTGAAAATGAAAAAAAATGTACCCTTGACCAAGCTTTCAGAGGTGTCCTAGAAGAAGAAATTGTAAGTATGTTTTTAATTGTTAAAATTTTGCTGGGAAATTAAAATTATTTTTTAAAGTTGCTCTTATTCTTAGACTTGATATTTAATTTTTTTATAGTGAGTTTGCGACCTTGTGGGAAATGCCTTGATCTTAATATTGGATGTAGGTAATAAGGATTTTGGAAATAGTGCTATTTAAGGATTTGGTTTAATAAATGAAAAGATCCAGGGCCCAGAGATAGTACAGTGGGTAGGGCACTTGCCCTTGCATCGGCCAACCTGGGTTCTATCCTCACCCAGCACCCTTATTGATGCCGCAAGTCCACCAGGAATGATTTGCAGAGCCAGGAGTAACCCCTGAGCACTGTCAGATGTGACTCCAAAACCAAATTCATAAATTTTAAGAAGAAAAGATCCTTCTCCAAGTAAATGACTAAGAAAAAAGTGACCATGAGTTTTACTGAGCAGAATTAGAAGTTAAAAGATGAGCCCTCTTACTTCACTATGTAAAAACAGTGATTAATTCATCCTGTATCTGTATTGGCATGAAAATCCGATCTAGGATGTTCAGCTTTTGAACTGGAATTAATTCCCTAACTTCTCTACATCACCCTCATCAGTGAGATACCAGAATAGCTAGGTCCTGTGCAACTTAAGAGAAATTTGAACATAAGCAATCTATATATTTACCTTTAGTATGATTACTGAATGAAAAGTTCCAACAGTTCATTATTGGTTTAATGAAATTTAGATCCCAGGAGGCTAGATCCTCTCCTAATGGTCATAATACCGAAGTTGTTTTGGGACTGGAGCAATAGTACAGTTAGTGGGACACTTGCCTGGCACTCAGCCCCTGCGGGTCCATCCCCTACACCCCATATGTTCCCCCCCATGCCTGCCAGGAGTGATCCTGAGCACCGCCTGGTGTGTTCCCAAATTAAAAACGTACAAGATAATCTCCCTAGTTTGTTTCGTTTGGACAAATCTGTAACAGATCTCATTCTTTCCTTTTCTTTAAACCTATTGTGAAGTAGTGGACAAGCTGCTTTGCTTTTCTGAACTTCAGTTTCATTTGTAAGAAGGGATATACAGCTGTGCACAGATGATTAAGTTTAAAACTTAATGATCACTCAATAAATGCTGTTTTTTGTAATGCTATTGGGCCTCAGAATAATGTTTTGATATGGCTCTCCCTCAAACATTGATGCACCAGATTGATAATTCCCCTGGTCATATGACATGTGCCATTGATTTAGTTATGACCTCAGCACTTCTGTGTTGGATTAGTTTAAGCCTTAATCATGCTAGTAGAACAATTTCATAAAATTTGAATTTTGTGGGCCACTTTCTCATTATTCACTTGATACATGTCATGGTTCTGTAACTGTAGAACTACAAATAAGTTCTATAACTTATTTTTAATATTTTCATCACAGTAATTTTGTCTTTAAGAAATTATATTATCCCACATTTGTGAAAATCAGTTTCATGGCAGTATTATATTTTTACCAAGTTAGTCTGAACTCTGGCCCCTAAATTGTTTTCTCCTCTGTTGGTAGATAAATCATTCATCATGTGAAAACGTTTTAGCTATTATTTCTCTTGCTATTGGGGGAGTAACTGAAGGTAAGTGGTTTTTTTTTTTATTTGTTTTAAGTAATCTTGGACGTGACGTGCTTTGTTTAAAACTTATTCTCCTCTACCTCTCCATCTATCTGACTTTGTTCATTCTTCAGTTTATGTCTCTCATCTTTATCAAGAAATCTCAATGATAGTACCTCTTTCATCTCTATTATGCAGCAAACATTGTGACATTTATTCACTGGTTGCTTTATTTGGTTACTATTTATTGAGCATCTGCTATGTGCCTGGTACTGAACTAGGACTTGGCGATTCAATGGCCAATAAATCATATTTCCTGGAGACTCTAGTGGCTAATGGAATTGCAATTTAAGTGACTCTAAATTTCAGAGTGTAAAGCAAAGCTACCATATTTATTTGACCTGTGACCCCTATTTCAAAAATTAAAAAATTTGGGGCTGGAGAGATAGCACAACGGGTAGGGCATTTGCCTTGCACGCGGCCAACCCGTGTTCGATTCCCAGGATCCCATATGGTCCCCTGAGCACCGCCAGGAGTAACTCCTGAGTGCAGAGCTAGGAGTAACCCCTGTGCATCGCCAGGTGTGACCCAAAAAGCAAAAAAAAAATTTTTTTTTAAATTTAAAAATCATGGTACTTCTTTAGAAATTATCTTTGTTAAATGAAAAAAACAGAAAGAACTCCCAGTTAAGCTTGAGGTTACTGCCACACTCCTAGATTATTCCACTGGAGGGGAAAGGCAGTAATGCCACACTTTGGAAAACACTGGGTGGAAAGGAATTTGGACAATGAATTTTTCGTACAAGTTCAGCATAAATAAAGAACTCTTGTGGAACAAAGGAGAGAGATAATATAGTAAGGAAAAGTTGGAGGGCAGACTAAGATCATTTGTAAATGGCTTTATATGCCTTACTAAAGAGGTGCTATGGAGGAAATTCTACTGGGAAAGTCTTGTGAAAGACTGAGTAGGAAACAAAATGGGGCAATAGGTGATTAATTTTAGGAAGCACTTCCAAAAGCATGTATCATGAACTGGAAGCTCTTTCCTTGCATGTGTGAGACCCTGGGATTAATTTTCTGGAAACACACACATGCTCAGTCGTAGGAACTCATTAAATATTTTCAGAAAGAAGCAATGAAAAATTAGTTTATCAGTGCTCTTTCACAAGTTTGGTTAAATTACTCGTTTGGTAATTGAGATAATTCAGATAATTTTTGTGACAACTGCCTTTTAATCTAAGGCATTTACATATTAATACTCATTTCTACAAAAGCTAAGAATATTTAAATTTGAATTCTACAATGCTGTGTCCTTTGTCCAGCTTTTGTTAAATAGTTTGTAGTAGAAGTTAGTTCACTGATTAACTTTATGTTGCTCTTAATGCTCTGGTAATCTTTACCACATGCAGATGGGTAATCCTTAACATTTAAAGGTATATTGTTATATTTAGAACTTTGATTTTACTTGAGAAAAATGAGGTCTTAGGCACTTAATTAAGCCATAAAGCCTTAAAATGCTTTTTAACTTTTCAAAATTTATTTTTGTAGTGTTGGCAAATTGAACGTGGCCTCACACATGCAAAGCATGTGCTCTAAAACTGCCCCATCTCTGATCTTTTTTATTTAATTTGACAGTGAAAATTCATTTTTGAGGGAGAGTGTTCCTGTTACTGTTTATGTGACATGTTTTCAGATTGTCCATAAATGTTTTGTTAAATTCAACTCAGCATATACTCAGTGCCAGAAATTATACTCGTCAAAACATACAATATGGCTACCTTTTAATTGCATTAATGCAGCCAATTCCCAGCACCACAGATGGTCCCCTGAGCACTGTAAATGGTTCCTGAGCACCAAGCCAGGAGGAGTAACTTACCCTGATCATCACCGGGTAGATGACTCAAATATCAAAACCAAAAAAACCCAATATGCCTACCTTTTAAGCAGTTCACAGTCTACGTGAACAAAGTTAAACAGGATATGATGATTGTTATAATTTACATTGAGTTTTCTTGGGAAGCATGGGTTAGTTGATCTGCTCAAAGGGGTCAAGAGGAGTTGTTTTGATTAACTGACACTAATGCTTTAAAAGATGGTAGAGTACTAGAGAGATAGTGCAAGGGTTTAGGCACTTGCCATGTACACAGCCAACTCCAGTTTGATCCCCAGCACCACTTAGAGTGCTTTAAGTACCACCAGGAATGATCCCTGAGTACAGAGCCAGAAGTCTTGAACATTGCTGGGTGTGGTCCAACAATCCCTCCAAGCCCCCAGCAAACAAAGTTAGAGTAGGAAATAACCATGTGCCAAGCTGACGACTGTGTAGGGGAAAAGTATTCTAATGAAAATGTTAAAATATAAATTATGATCATATCAAGTTATTTGATAACTAAGGAGGGCATAGCTATGGCCAGGGTTTAAGGTGAAGCAAAGAGTGGTGTTGAGGGTGGGACATTATTGTGAAAATTGTGGGGAATCACCGGTAAATTTATTCTAAATGAAGTTGCCAAACCCTAGCTTAGTTTTACTAAATCAAAATCCTTGGGAGTGGAATCTAGGTAATTTTCTTAAGTTTTATAATTACAAGTGAAGGATAACTTATGCCAGACTTTACTGTAAGTAAGAGCAGAGAGTATGCTCAGTTCTTGTATGTAAAGGGCACACCACTGGAAATTAAGTGCCGAGAGTTAACTTGTCTCATCTCTGGCCTTGCTTACCTTGCTCCCTACTGTAACATCTTTCATTGATAGATCTCACTGTGTGGTTCCTTTTAAAATAGTTCTCATGATCAGTTTGGCTTGTATTGGGTTGAAATCTTCTTAAACTGGCTCTCGGGTCTTAGCACATCCCAAGTGCAGTCCTACTAGTGCAGAGTAAAAATGTTTTCAAAACATAGTTTATCGATGCATTGTTTGAGCTTGATTTACTTTTTCGTGCCATGTTTAAGTGGCTGTTTTCTTTTTTTTGGTTGTGTTTTTGGGCCACACCCACTAGTGCTATTTCCTTAACAATTGTACTTACTACCTTCAAACAGAAAGAAGAATGAGCAAAGACATAAAACTTTTAGCTAGCAGTATTACTTTTAAGAAATTCTTAACTGCTCTAGTAAGTTGAAGTTTTCTTAATTTTCACCAATCTTTCTCCTCAACCAGTACAATTACCGAGAGTATTCGATATGCCAAACACAGTAACAACAAAGTCTCCAATGGAGACGTTACTGGGCCCGCTCGAGCAAATCGACGGTCAACGGGAGGGCCTTTACCTTTACCTTTTATTTAATACTAGTTGAAATCAATATTCTATCTTTTATCTTTTTTGAAGACATTTCAAAATCACAAAGACACAAAATTGCAGAAGTGAGAGAAAGGGCAAATACTAGTCATGATTCCTCTACTTTAGAACTACCATTTTGGTATATGGTTTGAATTTCTTTATTCTTAAAAAAATACATTATTGTAACTAATATACATACAGTTTTGAATCCTGCCTTTTTCACCTAACATTATATCATAAGCATTTTTCAAGTTGAGTTGTGATAACCATCTTTTTTTTTAACGTAGGAGTACTGCTATTTATTCAGCCACTGATTAGCTGATTGAATTGGGCATGAGCTCCACCTTACTTTTTTTTTTTCATAATTTTTTTATTTATTTTTTTCTTCTTATATTTATTTACTGAATCACTGTGGAAAAAGTTACAAAGCTTTCAGGTTTAAGTCTCAGCCATACAATGATCAAACATCTTTCCCTTCAGTACTCACTTTTCACCACGAAGAACCCCAATATACCCTCCTCCCATCCCTCTCAATGCCTGTGAGGCAGATGATTTCTACTTAACTCTTCTCTACATTGATTACCTCGACAAAAGACGCACCCTTATTGTTTAGAATCTCCCCCCCCCCCCCGCCCCCAACAATCAGAATTGCTGAAAAGGCATTGTGAAATACTTTGTTTTCTATAGCTGAATAACCATCATTTTTAATTGGCTGCATTATATTCTTTCGAATAGCTTAGTGGTGAAGAAAACAGACTGTGGAGCCAGACTGCCTGGGTTCGTATCCCAGCTCTACCACTTACTGGCTCTTTGATCTTGGGCAAGTTACTTAACATTTCCGTGTCTCAGTTTTCCCTTTCTATAAACTGAAGATAATATTACCTACTTCTTAGGGTTGTAAGGATTAAATGTGTTAGTATTTGTAAAGCAGTGTCCCTGACATATAGTAAATGCTCTAGCAGTTTTTATCAAGATTTTTATCATCATTGTTATTAAGTACACACACAAAAACTTATTAAGTATGTCCTATTTGAGGACATATCTGTGTTACTTCCATTGCTTGTCTTATAAAGCTTGTTAGTGTTCGCAAATAGTACCTCTATGATACTTTTCAGAGTTATTTTGCATGGGCTATTTTACTAGAAAGTCCTTTAAACCTTGACTTGTGCTCCACTTGAAGGTATTTGTACTGCCTCTACACCTTTTGTATTGTTGGGAGATGTTTTGGATTGTCTTCCTTTGGATCTCTGTGACACAATATTCACTTTTGTGGAAAAAAATGTTGCTACTTGGAAGTCTGTAAGTACCTTGTATTTGTTGTTTTGACTTTTCCTGATTATAATATTTTCTATAGCTCCAGGGTCCTTTGGATAGAAATTTTGCTTAAATTTCTAATATTGTTGATTGTCAAAAAGTTTGTCATTATGAAACAATTGTATATTCTGTTTGTGAGGGTGACTAAATCATGAACAAAGGTAGAAGTGCAAAAATCTGAATTAGTAACACAGTAAAAATGCCCACTTTCATGTTTATTTGACCAGTATCAAAATTTGCTACCATCTGTATCAAAATATTTTATTTATTGAAAATACTCACTTGATAAACATGAAAGTGGCATAGTAGATTCTCGGTCCATATTAATGTTCTTTCATGTTTTACTTCCTGTTACCATTGATGGATGTACAACAGCTGAACAACAAAATTTCTGTCTTAATTTCAGAACACATTCTATTCTGCTGGGAAAAATTATTTACTACGTATGTGCAATGGTAAGTAGTCATGATGAAATTCTTTTAAAATACAAATATAGCCAGAAAGCAAATGGTAAACGAAGCAAAAGTGATTAAAGATAATTTTTTTTTCTAGTGTAAAAGTATTAAAGGGGGAAAAATGTTTTAGGAATAGTGTTAACCACACCACAACTCCCCTCCCCACCTCTCCTCCACCCCCAGCCCTGGCCCATTCTTCCTTCATGGTATGTAGAAGCTTTGCTGTTCACTCCTACTTCCACCCTCATTGATAACTTCAGTTTTCTCATCTGAGGCTAAGAATTTGTTTTGTTTTCATTGATGTTGTCTAATCAATTGAAAAGCAATTTTTAACAGTTTAGTGTTTTGTGTTACTGGGAATTTTACCCATTTTCTCATACATGAAAGACTTGTGCTCTAACACTGAGCTGGAATCCCCAAACCTACCTAGTTATCTTCATTTTAAATATTTATTAAAACAGACAATGATATGGCCTATTCTGGAGGGGGGTGGACATTATGAAAAATTTAAAAAATTGAGTAAAGTCGGGGCTGGAGCGATATTACAGTGGGTAGGGCATTTGCCTTGCACGCAGCTGACCTGGGTTTGATTCCCAGCATAACATATTCTCCCCCAGCACCACCAGGAGTAATTCCTGAGTGCAGAGCCAGGAGTAACCCTGTGCATCGCCAGGTGTGACCCAGAAAACAAACAAAAATATTTTGTGAAGTTTATGCTGTTCATGCTCAACGTGTTTTTTTTCTAGTTTTTACTTATTTTTGGTGACAATGATTTCTAGTCCCATTTTGATAGTACTCCTTTAGGAAAGTTCTTTTGACAGACTGGTTAACATGGAATGATCCCATAACCTTCATTTGCATTTATTGGTAGATCTCCTAAGAAGATTATCAAAATCTCAGAATACTGTCTTCTGTGGACGAATTCAGCTCTTTTTGGCCAGACTTTTTCCTTTATCAGAGAAATCAGGTAAGCTTTTATATATTAAATAATAATTTTTTGCAGGAAAATCTTGTAGTCTTTAATAGATTAGGATATAATGATAATGACCATAGAAGTAATTTTAAAATGAACATGTAGAAGTGCCTGTCCTGTACTGTCCTGTCCTCCTGTTGTTCATCGATTTGCTCGAGCGGGCCCAGTAACATCTCCATTGTGGGATTTCTTGTTACTGTGTTGGGCATATTGAATACTCTTGGTAGCTTGCCAGACTCTCCGAGAGGGGCAGAGGAATCAAACCCGGCTCGGCCGGGCTGGCTGCGTGCAAGGCAAACGCCCTACCGCTGTGCTATCACTCCAGCCCACTTAGAAGTGCCACTTAATTTTTTTTCACTTACTAGTAAAATAATAATGCAAATTAATAGTAATACTAATTCTAGTGTATAATACAGGTAACTCTTAAAGTCGTTGATTCATTTTTTTGGGGTTTTTTTTTTTGTTTGTTTGTTTTTTGCTTTTTGGGTCACACCCAGTGATGCACAGGATTACTCCTGGTTCATGCACTCAGGAATTATTCCTGGCGGTGCTCGGGTAACCTTATGGGATGCTGGGAATTGAACCTGGGTCGGCCGCATGCAAGGCAAACACCCTACCCACTGTGCTATTGCTCCAGCCCCAATTGATTTGTTTTTAAGTAGAAAGATGAAATACATTTTACAGATAAATCACATTAAAATACGTAAATGGGTCACAGAACTATCATGTTGGTATTTCATCTGTTAATTATATGCTGATTTTTCTGCTTCCATTTTCTTCCTCACTTAGGCATATTTGCCTATGTCTAACAGTTTTTATTGTGAAATATGGTAGAATCTCTATGATACAGAGAAACGTACTTGGATTAAGTGTATAATTATTATAATGTATACTTCTGTAACCACTCTCTAGGCCCAAAAGTGAAATGCTGTCAGTTCTCCACATTTTTTTTACAATTTGTTCAAATATACTAGATCTTCTATATATTTGGTGCCAGGAATTGAACACTAGCCTCATACATTCAGAGCATGTGCTCTGCTGCAGAGCTGCATCCTTAATCAGATCTTATCTCTGAGTCAGTGTTCTTTGATTAATATCAACTAATATACCATGCGTTTAGGTATTATGAGGAATAAATTAAAATATGGTTAAGAGCTTAAAACTATATGTTGGCCGTGATTTTTATGTGTGAAGTTTTGGTTTCAGTCATGTTAGATCTGTTTTTTTCCTATTTATTTGATACAGCCAGAATTAATTTACATTTACGATTTTACTTATTAGTATTTCTGATCATCTCCTCCCCCTCCCCCTTTTTTTGTTTGTGATTTGGTTTTGGGCCACACCCAGTGATGCTCAGGTAACTCCAGGTTCTTCTCACAGGAATTACTACTGGGGCTCAACCATATACATTGCTGAGAATTGAGCCCGGGTAGCCCACATGCAAGGCAACACCCTACCCCACTATACTGTCCTTATATATGTATGCACACATACACATGTACATACACACATCATAGTTAGGTCTTCTATAACCTTTTTAACTTATCATGAAAAGAAATTCTTTGGCAATCAGAAATGTCTTAAAATGCATTTTGGAAATAACTTGAAATCTATGTGTGTTACTTCCTGACTTCATCTTTTTCTTAATCATGAATTTATTTGTTTTTGTATTTTGGGGTTATGTAACAACAAGTTTTGTGTGTGTGTGTGTGTGTGTGTGTGTGTTGTGTCTGTGTATAACCCAGGTCAGGTGTGTGCAAAGCAAGCATCTTACCCACTGACACTGACCCACTGTACTATCTCTCCAGCCCCCAGATTTACATTATTGCAAACAAATTTTATATGGTGAATTTCTTTTGAATCTTTTTTTTTTTTTTTTGTAAATAGGTCTTAACTTGCAGAGCCAATTTAACCTGGAAAATGTCACTGTTTTCAATACCAACGAGCAGGAAAGCACACTGGGTCAAAAGGTAAGCCTTATATGTAAAGAACGTACAAATTTATTAAGATCACATGAATAGGACTTCTAAATCATCAGAAAAATTAGGACCATGTTCTGTCTTCCTTATAGGATTCTTCCATATGTAGTTTTATTCCTAAAATGAGATTCTGTATATACTATTCGGAAATTACATTTTTGTGTCTGTGTGTGCGGGGGGGACAGGGGCTTGGTCCACACTCCTCACACTTATTCCTCACTCAGTGCTGGAGATCATCCTGGCAGTGATCAGGGACAACCTGCGGTGCCTGGGGTGCCAGGGATCAAACCATAGTTGGCCACAGGCTAGGCTAAGTGCCTTAACCCCTATGCTATCTCTATCAGTGCCCCTCACTTTCATCTTTAAACATATAAAATGGATATATTTCTGCATCTGTATATTCAGGCCTTTTTAACCATTATAATGCTTTAAAAGGGTATATCACAATCCCCTATATGGGCATGTAGGTAGTAAAAACGAGCACTATCAGAAAAGTATCATGGGGGAAGGGATTTCACAGTCAAGTTAGTATTGGGGGGGAACTGAATTAAATTCACATTAAAATTACTGTGGAGCTTGGGAGTTACTGTGGTCATATTTTACTGATGTTTGTCTAGCAGTGTGTAAACACCTTTCTGTTTAACAGCACAGGCTTTACCTTTTTTCAATTTGTAGCACACTGAGGACAGAGAGGAAGGAATGGATGTCGAAGAAGGTGAAATGGGAGATGATGAAGCTCCAACAACTTGGTAAGTTCTTATAAGTTCAGATTTCGTGATTTACAAAGATAATGCCTAACAATCACTTAGCAAGTGTTGGAGTGAGGTGTAGATAAGAAGAAAGTCATGCTTATCTTTTTAGTTTTTATGTATCTACTTTTAAAGTTACAAATCTTAAATTACTAGTGGACTGATTCAGCTGGCATCTGAATTGTATGCAGGCATTTTGGTACAAGGTAGTTTGTTACTTACAGAGTCTAGATAGTTCTCTCATTGAAGTCATAACCACTGGTGACCTAGACATTTCTCTGCCTAGTCAACTTTGTAGAGAAGTGCCCATGGGGATTGGCTGTCTGTTGTTGTTACTGTTGTTTGCGGGCCTTGGGGCTTACTCCTGGCTCTGCATTCACGGATCACTCCTGGCAAAGCGCAAGGGGCCATACAGGGTGCCTGGGATTGAATCAGGGTTCACCAAGTGCAAGGCAAGTGCCCTACCTCCTGCACTGTCTCCAGTCTCCTGAGCTGACTTTTTAATGAAGTGGGAAAGATAAACTTCCGTTCTCTTTACCTCTCATATCTTTTTTGATTTCTTACCTCATCCTCTTTAGCCCTGTGCTTTCTTTCAAATAATATATTGAGGCTGGATAAAGGCAGTGAGAAAGAGAAATAGGGTATAATGAAAGAAAACTCACTACCTCTCTTCCATTGTCTTAGATGACAAACTTCCTATTTCAGTTAGAAAGAATTTCCTGAGGAGAAGGAAGTTCCTTCCTATTTCTGCACGGGGAGATGCATTCTGATTCTCAGATTTCTTCCTGATTACCCAAAGAAATACAGAAAGTAATGTGGATTCCTATATTTCTTTGGGTAATCTGGAAGAAATCTGAGTATCAGAATTCTTCCAAGATTAGTTTCAATATTTCCTATTGGCATAACTTTAACTTTACTGAAAATTATGTTAAGTATCTGTAAGATGTAGTAATGCCACCTCAATTGGAATAGACTTTATGATCAACTTCTTCGTTGGAATGGATTCAGTGATCAGCATCTGTTGATCAGCGATGGCCTAATGAGACAATTACTAGTTACCCTTGTCACCTAGTATTAATATATAGTGAGATATGTAAAGTACCCAAAGTTCTCTTCATTATTTAAGATATATAAAGACTCAAATGTTTCTTCATTGTCTAGTAACTGTTGTTACAGATTTGGCTTCCTTTCTTTTTTTTTTTGGAAACTTGTCTTGAGCTTAAAGTAGGCTTTTATTTTAGGGAGTTGCTGCATGCAGTGTGACCGACCACCTTAACCCCTGTACTCTCTGTTCCCTTCATTGGCCATTTTTAACTGATAATACAAGATTAGGAGTAAACCCTGAGGACTGCCCAGTGTGGCCCCAAAACAACACCCCTCCCCCCACCCAAAAAAATCTCATGGATAAAATATAAAATGTTTAATATTAACTATTGAAATTCTTTATAGTCATTTAGATTGCTTATGACTTTTTTTATTTTAATGTTGGAGTATTGCTAGTTATTCAGCCATTGAGTAGGCTGATTGAATTGGGCAGGAACTCCACAGATTGCTTATAATTTTTAAATTTAAAAGACTGATTCTCACTGTAGTTTAATAATGCAGTCAAATTAAAATTTGAATTATAACCTTAAAATAAAGATACTAAAGAAAAGGCTTATGGCCAGGAAGATAGCTCAAAGGGCTAAAGCACATGTCTAGGATACTCAAGTTCAAACCCTGGTACCACCCCTCTTCCTGGGTCCCAGCATCACTGGGTACCTGGTGGCTCCCCAGCACCCCAGATTCATGCAGCACTGTCTCACCCAGCCCTGGCACTGAACTATCAGGAAATGCTGAGTGTATCCCAAAAGTGGCCTCTGGGGCACCTCAAGCATTGCTGGGCACCCCAAAAAATAAAATTTTTGTTTTTAAAGAAATGACTTTCCTATTAAGTCTTTATATCCCTTATTTGTTTCATACTAGGACTTATTATGTCTTTTAGTATATAGTGCTTATGGTTTTTAAAATATATTCAAATTCATACTAATAAATAGCATAGAATTAATTTCTTAAAAGTTTGGAGACGGGGCTGGAGCAACAGCACAGCGAGTAAGGCGTTTGCCTTGCACGCAGCCAACATGGCCGACACAGGTTCGATTCCCAGCATCCCATATGGTCCCCCGAGCACCGCCAGGAGCAATTCCTGAGTGCATGAGCCAGGAGTAACCCCTGAGCATCGCTGGGTGTGACCCAAAAAGCAAAAGTTTGGAGACAAGAGGTGAGAATACTTGTCTTCAGATAGGACCCACATTCTCCTTATTTATTGTGTCATCTGTTAATTTGATCTTTTTTCTTTGGTCCAAGATGGCTCATTGTCATATCTGCATAAGCAGCAGAAATGAAAAATAGAAAACACAGCCACACCTGACTCAGAGGACCATGGAAAGACTTTACTTCTGAATAATTGAAATAGTTTGTTTCCGGCCAAAATTTAGGAATCTCACTACAGAAGATAAAAAGGGTTTGGGCCTGAATCCCCTAAAACTGTTTCTAAAATTTACATGAATATCAGTGAAAGCACACTTTTCTTGGAAAAAGGTCATAGCTCTCATTGGCCTCTTTTTGGTGGTTGTCATTTTGGGGCCACACCTGGCTCTGCACTCAGGGATCACTCCTGGCAGTGCTCAGGGGATCATATGGAATGGCAGAGATCAAAACTGGGTTTGCAAGGCAATCACCCTAACTGCTGTACTTTCACTCCAACCTTCTCATCAGTTTCTTAGTAGGGTTTTGTGACCCAAGAAAACTTACGTACGCTTAGATATTTCTAGAACTTAAATGATGTGTTCAATATATTGTATTACTAATTTTTTTTAGCTCCATTCCAATTGATTACAACCTGTACAGAAAATTCTGGTCACTTCAGGATTACTTCAGGAATCCTGTGCAATGCTATGAGAAGGTTTCCTGGAAAACTTTTCTCAAGGTGAGGAAAAAAATTGCAGACTACTGAAAGACCCATATTTACAGATAGTGGCAATGCCAAAACTTGACACTTTTCAGCTGTTTTCCATATTCTGTGTTAATGCCTTTTTAATTATACAGATGCTAAATTGAGAATATTTAACTGACTTTATGTGTAAGTTTGCTGGTTACATACTTAATTTCATGGTAAATTTCTGTGTATTTTCAAAAGTATTTCTTTTCGTTGCTTTATCCTTTTACAACTTAAGAAATCCTTCTTTTACAGTACAAATGACCATTTTGCCCTCGTTTTGCTATACTAATTTTTCTTGCTTAATGCACATAGTTGATAAGCTGAAGCTAGTTTCTAGATGTTTTCATAGAGAGGAGCACTAAATTGGTGAAAAAAATGCCATATTAAAGTAATTGATACTTTTACTTTACAGTATTCTGAAGAAGTCTTAGCTGTATTTAAAAGTTACAAACTAGATGATACCCAGGCTTCAAGGAAAAAGATGGAAGAATTAAAAACAGGAGGAGAGCATGTATATTTTGCAAAATTTTTAACAAGTGAAAAGGTACAAATCTTTCCTTTCTGTTAAACATACAGGAAATTTTAATTTCTGTAATAAGCATAACCTGAGCCATTAAACAAAGCTTGAATCTAATATTTTGTATTTGTGTGTGCTTGTTTAGCTGATGGATTTACAACTGAGTGACAGTAATTTTCGTCGTCACATCTTGTTGCAGTATCTCATTTTATTTCAATATCTCAAGGGGCAGGTCAAATTCAAAAGGTGAGTTAATATGGACAGTAAGTGACTTCTGAATAGCAAAACATGTTCTTTATTGATGTGTTTTTCTAGGTACCAGACTCTTTGTGCAAGGAACACATCAGTAGAACATTATGGTGCAGCAATATTAGATAATCAGAGGCTTATGTTTTCATCACTGGATACAGGATTGTTTACTCCTAATTGTATTGAAAATATCCTAATTGTAGTTCCTCTCAATAAGTCTGTCCTTAAGAACAGCATTAGGGCTTCCTGAGAGTTCTCATGTGGCTACTGAGAGCTCTTTCCTCCTGCCTTCATCATTCCTTTTTCATCTCACTCACACCCTCTCAAACATGGTTTGCAAGCAGTCAAAAACACTTCTCTCAGGCCAGGGAGAGAGAAATGTAAAGGAATGGTATACATGAGGTCTCAAGTTCTGCCCCCCAGCACCACCTGGCCTCTAAGCACCACTGGGCCCCTTTTTCTCCAGAAATGCCCCTCACAAGAGGTGGCACTATCCACAGGCATCAGTTTGCAACATAAGGAGTTCTCATTTCAGACGACATTCAACACACACATGCAAGACTAAGGAGCTCTGCCTACAGCAGAGACCATTTCCTCTTGTCATGTTCATAACTAAGTCTATAGCGCTCATTACCATTAGTATTTGGGTGCAAGGTGCAAAGCTATATTGTCATTGTGTGAAGAACAATGCTCTGCATCTCCTAGTTTGAATCAATCCAGGTGTGAATCTTCTTTGATAATTAAGATAACACATGGGAAAATGGCTCAGAGGGCTAGAATATGTGGTCTGCATGTGGGAGCCTGTATTTGATTCCTTAAGCTCTGTGGTTGTGACCCCAAAACAAAATTAAAAATAATACATATCAAGCACTCATAAATTTTACTCTGGGTCTGGGAGATGGGATAGCCGGCAGAATACTCGTCTTGCATGCACCTGATAATGGTTTTAATCCTCAGCACCCCATATGGTCCCCTGAACCAGCTAGGAGTAAGCCCTAAACACAGCGAAATGTGCCCCCCCCCCCCAAAAAAAATGGTTTTCATCTATTCTGGAGGCTTGTTAAATGATCAAGGAGTTTGGCTCCAGAACTAGGTTTACGTGCTGCTTCTTTGTGAACTTGGGCAAATCACTATAGTGATTTTTGCCTCAGTAGTCTCTTTAAGTTACATGTAGTCATTATGAGAAACAATTTTAAAAAGCAATTAAAAAAGCAATTAAAGTGCTCATATTCTGACACATGCTAGTCTATCAGCATAGCACAGCGGTAGGGCGTTCGCCTTACAAGCGGCCAACATGGCCGACCCGAGTTCGATTCCTCCGCCCCTCTCGGAGAGCCCGGCAAGCTGCCGAGAGTATTCAATATGCCAGACACAGTAACAACAAAGTCTCCAATGGAGACGTTACTGGGCCTGCTCGAGCAAATCGACGATCAATGGGAGGGCCTTTACCTTTACCTTTTATAAGAGCACATAGGGAGAGCTGAATTAATGGCAGTTTTTAATAATTTGGGGTCCACCTCAGCTCGAGGGACTTAGTCATTTTGTATGTTATAGTTTAAAGGGGTGTAACATGCCTTGCCCATTATCCAGATAAATGTTAATGTCCCAGAGGCTAATGTTCCACATTAAGCTTATTTTAAGAAATATTATGATTCTGTAGTTATAGTATTGATCATTGAAGGTTTTATTCTTTACCTTCATGTTTTTGTCTAACCCTCATATAGAAGATAAAAGTATAACCCTCTTATAAATAGAAGGCAAAGTATAAAAATTTTCTTAATGACTATTCCTCATAGTTTTAAAACTGTTTAAAACATGGTTGATGTGTTATACACATATTTTTCAAGACAGCGTAATAAATCTTGAATGTATATTGCTGTAACATACTTTACTGTTTTGTTTCTCTAGTTCTAACTATGTTTTAACTGATGAACAATCACTCTGGATTGAAGATACCACAAAATCAGTTTATCAAGTAAGTTCAACATGCAACAAACCCATGATTGAACAAAATGGAAATTTAGAATTTTCTTTGTTTCAGCCCCAAATAGGAAAATAAGGATAAAGTTAAGCTCAGGTACAAGACCACAAACACTTCTTGGTTCTCTGCCTACAAACCACTCCTATGATGCAGAAAGTTGTTGAAAGCTTAGTATATTCTTTCTAATCACAGCTACTATCTGAAAACCCACCCGATGGAGAAAGATTTTCAAAGATGGTAGAGGTATGTGTTTTATAGTTTCACACTCTCCTTAGCACCAGATTTTAAGAGCCTTTCATTTAGCAAATGTAATTTCTTTGGTTTTTCCAGCATATATTAAATACTGAAGAAAACTGGAACTCATGGAAAAATGAAGGCTGCCCAAGTTTTGTGAAAGAGAGGTAAATATAGAGACCAGAGAAATAGTCCAGTGGACAAGGCGCTTACCATGCATGTAGCCAACCCAGGTTCAATCCCCAATGTCCATATGGTCCCTGGAGCACCACCAGGAGTGATAGCTGAGTGCAGAGCCAGGAGTAACCCCTGATCATTACTGGAGAATCTGAAAAAGTTCAGATTCTCCTGACATTTTACTGAAACACATTTGACCTCTAATATCTAACCACATTAATTTATAGCTGCGGTCTTATAGGGGGTGTGCATTGGTTTTGAGGCCACACCCAAGCAGTTTAGGGGTTACTCCCAGTTCTGAGCTCAGGGGTCATTCCTAAAAGTGCTTGGGATACCATGCAGTCAGCATGTAAAAGCATGTGCTCAGTCCATGGAGCTATCCTCCAACCCATATGTCCAAGTATCTTCTATTTCTTATCACTGTTTCTGAAACGAATTGATTACTGAGGGAAAAAAATACTCATTTTTTATAATTTGTCTTGTTAAGTATTCATTTTTTTTTTTAAGGGGGAAAAAAGCGAACAATGAATTTCCTTCCTAAAGTTTAGGAGGAAACCAGTAAGTTTTGAGTAATAGTGAATAGGGCCAGATAGTTTGTCTTGCAGGTGGCTGGCCCAGTTCTCCTGGCATGACCTGTGACTGCCCCCTCCCCCCAAGCACTGCCAGAAATAACCATTGACTATCACTACTGCCCCAAAATAAATAAATTTTACATTAAACACTTTTCCATCTCTATTTGGTAATTTTCTCTCTTTCTATACCACAGAACATCCGATACCAAGCCAACAAGAGTAGTACGGAAGAGAACAGCACCAGAGGACTTTCTAGGGAGAGGACCTAACAAAAAGATTCTGATGGGAAAGTAGGTGACTTTTTCCTCCATAAGTAGTGTTATCAGTCACGTTTACATGAAGATGTTACTGTAGAACTCACCAGTTTTGGGGCTGTTTGTTTTATGTAGTGGTGTGTGCAAAGATGGCTAAAGCAAATCATTCCCTGTCAACCAATGGGTTTGGGGTTCATGCAACTAAAAGACTTTCATTTTTGTCTCCTTTTATAATCCAGGGCCCTTGGCTGTGACATTTTTCCAGATCATAGACAAGTGTTAAGACTCATCCAGCTACTAGTAGTTTAGTTCTTGAATCTCTGTGACCTTCCAGTTTCAGCTCTGTATATATAAATTTGATACCAAAATTTAAAATGCATCTATTAGCACCCAAGGATTCACCATTGTCTTTGCTGTTTTTTCTATCTGGTTTTAGGACATAAAATAGGTCTTTCATTCATTATATGTTTTGTCTATTCTATAGCGAGGAGTTAACAAGGCTTTGGAATCTATGTCCTGATAATATGGAAGCCTGTAAATCAGAAACAAGGTAAATTTAAAATGTTCACATGAAGAATTGCTTTTATGAAATGTTCTGCAAAGTAGATTAGAGCCTTTTTGTGAAATACACATTTATATATGGATGACTATAGAATGATAAGCTTCCTATTTGTGTGTGAGTTGTGGAAGGTTGAGGGCCAGTGTGTGTAGACTGTGTGTAGATACAGGTAGAACAGTATTTACTTAGCAGTGTCATGGCAAAAAAGGTTAAGCAAAATACCAAGAGAATGGTTAAGTTTGTGGCATGTTGATATAATGAATTGTTTACATTGTACATTAAAAATTACCAACATAGGTTTACTTTGGAAAAATTAGACTTACAGAAAGATACAAACAGAATTCCATTAATAGAAAGTTTGGCAAAGATTCAGAAAGATATGTTTATTTGTGTTTCTGAAAAGTGACTCTGGAAAGGAAAATATATTTAGGGAAGCGTACATGGGCACTCTCAGCTATTAAGGGTAAGTTTAAAGCATTTACAGCAAATGTGATATTCATTACATTAGTCTTGATTGCTTGCAATATGTATTTAAAACTAAAACGTGGTTAAAATATTTATAAAAATCTAGTACAAAAGTTCCCAAACTTATTTGGACTACAGCTCCCTTTACATACACACACACACACACACGCACGCACGCACGCAGTTTTTTGGTTTGTTTGGGAGCAACGTCTGGCAGCGTTTAGGACTTACTCCTAGCTTTGAACTCAGAAAATACTGCTGGTGGTACTATATGGGATTCTGGGGTCTAAACTATATGGGATTCTGGGTCAGTTGCATGCATGGCAAACACCCTACTTGCTGGCTGTATAGCTCTGGCCCCTACTACAGTTGCGTTTAGTGGGGAGGAGAAATTCATATTTAAGTGAAGAAACAGCACCCCTCAACTGCATGTAAGGCTTTACTGCTCTGGAACATATTTCTCACGTAGGAAAACCTGAACTAGTATGACATGCATATACATGCACAAGATACATTTTCTGACCTGTGATATTTTCCAATTAAAGATGTTGTTATTGTAATAAAGTTTGTAAAATGTAATGCTTGGCTTTTTATCAGAGACATCAGCTTTCTAGTTATTATAAGAGATATCTTATGAAATCCTTAGATTTTTAAAATAGTTAAGCAAATTATAAGATCTAAGGATTTCATAACTATTTTAAATTTCTAAAAACAAATTTCTGAAAGATGCAATTAAAAACTGACCTTACTAATCTAAAATGAAATGAAAAAAAAAATGAAGTGAAAGTTAAGCTCTTGAAACTTCAAAGTGACTGGTTATACATTATAGTTTTTTAATTCTGCTTTAAGAAGAAAACATCTGTACAGGTAGACATAATTTAGAAATTTCTGCCTTCTGGTGAAATTTTACTATTCTGAACTCCTGCCACCTGTGAGCATTAACACTGCCATATAATATACATTGCCCCACATCTAGCGTATGTGTGGTATAGTACCAGTTGTATCCCTCTCCAAACATTTAGTTGCAAGTCATTTACCTCTTTAAGATGAAGTACTATAAGTACTATAACTTGTGTGGGTAGCATTATAATTGTCTATTGCCACCATTTTGAATATATTAACACACGTTTGTCATTGCTTTGCTTTGTCATTCTCAGGGAATATATGCCAACACTGGAGGAATTTTTTGAAGAAGCCATTGAACAAGCAGATCCTGAAAATATGGTTGAAAATGAATATAAGTAAGTAAAGTCCCTAATGTCAATTTTCTCCACTATTTTTAATAGTATTGTATAACAACTAAAACACTCATCAGGGAGTTATTGCTCCCTCAGGTTCATTCACACCATTGCAAATCCTCACATCAGTGGCCATTCCCTTTGATTGGCCAGCAAGTGCTAGTACATCTTGTAAATTGATGAGGTTCACCTTGGGGCTTTTAATAATAATGTGCAGAAACTCAGACTGAATAAATGTATGCTTTGTATTCTTCTGTAGCTCACCTGTTTCCACAGCATTATTTTCAGAGCTTCTCTTAAGTTCACATATTACTCTTAGAACTGTGGTAACGTTTTTACTTTTAGAGCCAGTTCTACCTCCACAGCAATACCCACCCCCTTTTGGGGGCATTTTTAGTCACTAAACTAAGGTTGTATTGAATCTTGGCTCAACTTACCAAAAGTGTTCCGGAAACACCATGAAAACCTTGGTGTTGAATTCGCAAAATATTCTGAAATTCATATCCAAAGGTAACACTGCTAGTATTTCAATTTATTGATCACAGTGAACCTATTTTGGCTTTCTTAAATAGCCAATTGCTGTCCTGCACATACAATATGTAACCAATACTGACTTAGATGTGACTACCACACTGCCTTTGTCAACTTTTAAAATGTGTTTGCCATTTATCAGTGAACTGCACACTGAGAAATTCTTTAAGAATAGGATCATGATAAAAAGAAACGGTGCTTTGAAGGATCAGGTTTGGTGGTAGCACCACCAGCCTTCCATGTATGAACGAAGTCACAAATTTGGTATCTGGTGCTGCCCCACATCACGGAGTGTGAGCCTTAACACCACATCATCAAAAGACTATGTTCTAGCTACAAAGTGTAGATGCTATACATTTTTAAAAGAGAAAATGGTGTGTTTGACTACTTACCTTAGTATAGAGTTTCACATGGAGAATCATACTAGCTAGAATGGAATATGAAAACAGAAAAAACTAACACTGGCTTGTCTTATAGGGCAGTGAACAATTCCAATTATGGTTGGAGAGCCCTGAGACTATTAGCACGGAGAAGTCCTCATTTTTTCCAGCCAACCAATCAGCAGTTTAAAAGTTTGCCAGAATATCTTGAAAACATGGTGATTAAGCTAGCAAAGGAATTACCAGTAAGTAATATAGATCAATGTTTTCACAGCTATTCATTAATGTTATCATCTTTAAAATTGCTATGCTGGAGCTAGTACAGCAGGTTAGGTGCTTGCCTTGCATGTAGTTGATGTGGGTTCAATCCCAGTATCCCATATGGTCTCCTGAGCACCACGCCAGGAATAATAACCTGAGTGCAGAGCCAGGAGTTATCCAGATGTGACCCCAAAACAAAACAATTGCAATTACCCTTTAAGGAAAAAGCCAAGTTTATATATGACCATATTTAAATCCCCCACCCCCCATTTAGAGGAATTAATTTCTGTAAAATTAGTATTTACAGAAAGTACATATAAATTGATAGGGACTTTTTTTTTACTACACATCATATAACCTTGGGAAAACTAGTATCCATGATGAGGTTTTCATATCTGCCAATGCATTTTGTTACCAATTTTTCTCATCTGTTGTCTTTTCCATTAGTTTTGTGATTGTGTAATGTGAAATAATAATACTGCACATAAAACTTTCTTTTTAAGAAAATTATAACAGGGTTCTCCTCAGTCTTCCCCCAACATATATTCTGGGTAATTTTACAAATCAACTTACCTTTTTTTTTTTTAACTGCTTCCCTTTGTCCATGATTGGGGCGGTGGCAGTCGTTCTTTCTACCTTGGGGCAATGGCAGTGTTTCTAATTCTCAGGTCTCCTGCATCCTCCTCCAGGTTAACACTGTCCATTGACAGTCCTTAACCTAACCTTCACTTTAACACTCCAGGATAAGTCTGGCCTTTCCACTTGGACTCCCATGACCACCAGAATCTAAACCAAAAAATAGCTCCAGCTGTCTAATTTTAGAAGTTACCTTTTACTTTTTTTTTTTTTTTGAGGGGGGAGCCACACCCAACTGGACTCTGGGGGTTCTCCTGGCTTGCTTCAGGGACCAGATGGGATTCTGGGCTCCTGTCGGCCACCTGCATGACAAAGTGCCCTACCTGCTGTGCTATCATTCTGGCCCCCTTTTCACATATTCTTCATGCTCATTTTTAGCCTCCTTCTGAAGAAATAAAAACAGGAGAGGATGAAGATGAGGAAGATAATGATGCTTTACTAAAGGAAAACGAAAGTAAGAAATTATTTTGGCTTTTTCAAAATAGGAAAAGATTGGGATACTTTGTTGAGAGGCACATTATTTAATTTCATCTACTTCCCAACTGCTACCATTTTCCTCAGCTCTTGTAGAGATTTAAACCTTAAAATATTTTTTATGCAATGAAATGTGGAAGTGCTGGGAAGATAAGTATTTCTCTTTGAAGGTTACTTCACTTCACCTTCGGAGTGGGTGGCGAAAGGGAGCAACTGGTTTCAGGGAAGCCTGAGTAATTAGAGCTCATGAGTTTTCAGCTTTGATTAATTTCAAAGTGATCATAAAAATAGCAAATACAGTATTAAAAAATAGCAAAGAATACAAAAAAAACTTTTAACAAAGCTTATTATAAGTTAATATCTCAATAGCCCCATAGCTTTACAGTGCATATATGCTTGTACTTAGCATGTAACTTACATTTCCTGTGTTTTCTAGGCCCTGATGTTCGGCGAGATAAACCTGTAACAGGGGAACAGATAGAGGTATTTGCCAACAAACTGGGTGAACAGTGGAAGGTTTTGGCTCCCTACTTGGAACTGAAAGACTCAGAAATCAGACAGATTGAGTGTGACAGTGAAGACATGAAGATGAGAGCTAAGCAGCTACTGGTTGCCTGGCAAGATCAAGAGGGGGTGCATGCAACACCTGAGAATCTGATTAATGCACTGACTAAGTCTGGATTAAGTGACCTTGCAGAAAGTCTAACTAATGACAATGAGACAAATAGTTAGCTTCTTTCTTCTTTTTTTTATTAAAACTGTGATAAGATTTTGTTAACCAAGCAGCATTTCATAAGAGGTCCACTGGTTTTGGTAAACAATAAACATTTTTATATAACAGTTGTACAGTTGGCTGATGCTCCAAGAACAGAATGCATATTGGCTATTAATAACTGACCTGGGGGGGGGGGACAGTTGAGTAAACAGGTTGAGAAAATAGCCAAAATGACCTCAAGGTCATGTTATAGATTTTTAAAAAAAAGTAATAAAGTCAAACAAAACTTAGGGTCATTGAGTTTCCTTAAGAGATACTATATCAAATGTTTCCATGTGCCATTGTTAACCCTGTAACACTTTTTGAAACTTGAATATTATTCCTCTCTTATGGCTTTCAAACAGGGGACTAGCTTGGTCCAGTTTTTAACTAGATCTATGGTTCCTTCCACACACTAATGAATCCTGGAGTTTAGCAGCTGCCACGTTTATGGGTTGCAAAGTATTTACTGTCTGGCCCATTACAGAAAATCTTTTAGTTACTAAAAGAAGCAGATCGAGTCTAAAACCTAGCTGTACGGATCTCCCAAAGATTCTCCAGTCATTTTAAATGAGGAAAAAATCTCAGAGATCATGGTGAAGTGCAAATGAAATACTTGTGAAAGCACCTTGTAAACAGCCAAACACCAGTGAAAGCTGGATATGTAATAGTTCACCTACTTTTCCTATTCCCATATAAACACTGGGACTCTTAGGTCATTTTGAATTCTAAAGAAGGGCAATTGCATATTACACTGTAATGTTCTTGCTTAAGCTTGATTTCACTAGCTAGTCCATGAGTCATACATCAGGGTGTTAATATCAAAGCCCTCAGTGCTAATGTGCACAGCATATAAGGCACACTCAGGAATCAAGACTTTTTTATTCACTCCCCCTTCTCTCAAAGACCTTATATGAGAGGCTGACTTCTAAAAAAGCCTGATTAATCTGAAAATCTTTGGATTAATGCTTTTTGGACCAAATAAGGTTTTTACAATGATGACAAAGTACTACAATTTTTAAAATCCTAATTCCATACAAGGTTTATATAATTTGTTCTAAATCTACTTCACCTGATCTAGTAGCTATAAGTTTTCTGCAAATCAGAAAATCAAAATTCTATTGTTAAACTTATGTTCAGACAGAGCCAGACCAAATTTAAAAACCTCAAAGTTACTGGCATTATGCCAATATATAAAAGAACTATTACTATTCTTAAAGTCTCACTTTCCCCATTCTACCAAGCACCCCTGCCAAGGCAGAGTACTGATTGCCAATAATCAGAATTTAGCTTTAAAAAAAAAATACATATTTCTCTTTAGTGTTCATTTTATCCCCTACTATTTAAAATTACATTGTCCAAAACTGAGAGGAAAACAGTCATTATTCTCTAGGAATCTAGTAATCATCAGTGCTATGCTCCATAGAGTCAAGGTAACAAATTTCATAATTCCCAAAGCCTTACAAATACCGTAACTAAAAAGTCAGTTCTTTCCCTAGCAATTAGGCTCCTGAAACAAAATAAGGAACTAATTATACTAAAATGTAAAAAGCTACTCATAAGAAATATCTCATACTCTTGGTATTCCTACCATCACTCTAAAAATCAACTAACAAAATTTGACATTTATATCAAGATTTTAGGAATTGTCAGGACAGTAAATACAAACAACAACTCAGCCAAGAACAAATTCTGATAACTTGCATTCAACATCCAGAAACTCCATTACTTTTACAACTTTGTGTTTCTTTTTAAACAGAAAGTGTGATCAAGCAAAGAAGAAATAATTTTTCAGTGGATGCTTAACAGCAAAAGAAAAACTATCTGCAGAAACTGTTATAGGATTTAAATATACCTGAACATCAGCCAAGCTCCAACACTAATAGACAAAAGACTTGAGGTCAAATCTGTTAATCCCTCTTTTTTTTTTTTATTAAATATCCTCATTTTCTAAAAATAAGTAACCAGAGCTTGTCAACGTTTCATAAGGTTGATTACTATAAAACCATTGCAAAGTTAAATGTACAAACCATAGTACATCAGAGACACAGTAATAAATGTATAATCATATGTACTATTATTGATCACAATTTATTTTTAAAGTCATGAAAAGCCAGCACGGTCCGGCTGACAAATACTTGATTGTACCCATATCTCCATGGGATGTGGACAGCAGCACTGAGATACACAATGAGAGCAACACTCCTTTCCACCTTCCTGGCAACAATTGTTAGATAAGGCAGAGGATGGGCAGCTACTGATGGTGGTATAAACCATGCAAGAACAAGTGATAGAGTAATAGGTGTGCAATAAACATCTGATTGCTGAATCCTGGGCTAAAAAGGCAGGGAGAAAAATTATTACAGCGGGTAATGGTCGAGAGTCATTTCAACACAATTACTCAGAATTAATGCAAGAAACGAGCATTTAAAAATGTTTTCCTGCCTTCTTTATCCAAAAGCAATTTTCCTAATTTTTTAGGAAAAATTAGGATGCTGACCTTATCATCGTAAACTTAATCCATTCATCTAAAAAGAGAAGTGAACGAATACACATCACTTTTTCAAAGATCAACTTTAGGTTGATGTAGAGTGGTCTGTTTCTACACTCTTTTGTCCCACATGATGGGGAAATGTAAAACCACTTAAATATCTTCCCTAGAGCCCTGGATTATAGAAGAAATCAACAAATAACATTTATTTCACACCTAAGCATAAATAGCTAAAATGAAGATTACTGTTCACTTTCCTCTTCCATGACTTCCACTCTGCGAGGCCCATAGAGCAGAACATAAGCTATATGCCAGTCTCCACCACCAGAGAGTCGCAAGATGTCCTCCGGTGTCACGATGCTGACCTTATCATCGTCAAACTTAATCCATTCATCTGAAAAGAAGTGAACGAATACACATCACTTTTTCAAAGATCAATTTCCAGAAGTTTCTGTATACATTTGCTAAATGAAAATTAAACAATTGAGTTTTATTACACCAAGTTTCATGGCCCATACTACTATATCTACAGTTCTCAAAATACGATTCAAGAGCCATAAAGGTCCAATTTCAGAGGGTTCAGGAAAGTTATAACTATTTTTATAACATTACTAAAATACTGTCTTTCCCCCCTCATGCTCTATACAGTTTGGACTTTCCCATCTCAATATGTTTGAAAATCAACAGAGTGAATGCAGTCAGGAGAATCCAACTCTATTAAACCAAACTTCAAAACTATGATTTAATAGCACCTTTTTGGGTCTGTTTTGTTTGGGGGCCACAACCAGCAGTTCTCAGGGCTTACTACTGGCTATGTGCTCAGGAAACACGCCTGAGCAAATTTGGGGGGCCATACGAGGTGCCAAGGATCAAACCTGGGTCAGTCCCATGTTAAGGTATGCACCCTGCCTGCTGTGCTTCTGCCCAAAATTTTTCCGACACCTTCTTATTAATATTTTTGGGAAAATATTTCTGTAAGTTTTCAATGAATTATTTTAATATATAAACAGTATTATTTAAGAGTATTAAACCTCGTGCCATTTTTGGAAATTAGTAATTAACAACGTTAACTAAAGCCAGAACTGTTCACAACCACTGTGCTATAAATTTTATTTAGTATAAAAATGAATACTGAATAGGAGTCAGCAATGTATAGAGCACATGCTTCACATGATAGTTGGCACCACAAAAGATTTTACACTAAACAAACTTAAAACTACATAACAATGAAAAAAACAGTATTTTACCTTGTTTCCTTTTCACCCATGATACATAATGACCTGAAGAACTAGACCTTCCCTGGTGCGTCAGTACGGCTTGTAAGTCATAGTAGCCACAGTTATTGGATCCAATGTCTAAAGAAATCCAATTATATGAGATAAATGAGTAGACATGTACATTCTCAAGTTAGGGAATAAGCAAGAACAATTCCTAAATTCTTACAGAAGCAACACTGTTATTAGAAGCCAATAAGATATCAGTGTTCAATCAAAAAACACTTCTTTAAGTATAATAAAGGAGTATAATTATTCACATTTTCGTAACTGAAGGAGTGATTTGCATACCATATAATGCAAATTATTCAAGAAACAAGCTTTTTAATTTAAGCATGATATCTAGCAAGAGTGATTTTGCCTTTACTAAAAAATAAAATATAACTCAACTGAAATAGATTTCACTTACCATCAGCAAAAGAAAACGGTTCATACTTAACTTCTTTCTGGGGACTACCTTTTCTGTCACTCTGAGGGAGAAAAGTTTTTAATTTTAAATCATAATATTGGAAATAAAATTTGAATTTTCAGTATAATACCATTCTAGAAATAAGTTACTATCTATAGAGCTAAAAACACTTAAGCAAAAAATTCAGGCAATAGTAATAAGAATCTTTGGGGCGGATGGGGGGCAAGAACAATAGCACAGCGGGTAGGGTATTTGCCTTGCACGTGGCCGACCCAGGTTCAATTCCCAGCATCCCATATGGTCCCCTGAGCCCCACCAGAAATAATTCCTAAGTGTAGAGCCGGAAGTAACCCCTGTGCACTGCCAGGTGTGACCCAAACCCCACCGCCCAAAAAAATAAATAATCTTTAGTGGGAACTCCCTGCCACAATCCATTTCATTATGTTAAGAAAAAGCTACATAAATCTCTTGAAGGCATAGGTAGTAAAAACAATGCTAGAAGCTTAAAAACATCAGACATGGAAATAGTTCAAAGATCCTACTACCAAAAAAAAAAAGCAATCAGATCAACCATTCATAAATAGAGTATCTAAAAGAAATATCTAGGGGCCAGAGCGATAGTATAGCAGGTAGGGCATTTGCCTTGCATTTGGTAGACCCGGTTCAATCCCCAGCATCTCATATTACTCCGCCAGGAGTAATTCCTGAGTGCAGAGCCAGGAGTAACCCCTGAGCATCACTGGGTGTGACCCAAAAAGCAAATAAATAAAACAAATAAATCTAAGTACAGGGTTTAAACAAAAAAGCTGAAATTCCAAAAATGTCTAGTAGCCTTCAATGTCACAAAGAAAGAAATAATGAGGGGCCATCAACAAATGGGGAGAGGAAAAGAACAGAAACTTCCTCAGAGAAGAAATTTAAATGACCAAAGTGCACATGAAAAAATGCTCTACATCACTAATCATTAGGAAGATGCAAATCAAAACAACAATGAGATATCACCTCACACCACAGAGACTGGTACATATGCAAAAGAACAAGAGCAACCAGTGCTAGTGGGGATGCAGAGAGAAAGGGACTTTCCTTCATTGTTGGCAGGAATGTAGACTGGTCCAGCCTTTTTGAAAAACAATATGGAAATTCCTCAAAGAATTATAAGTTTAGCTCCCACTTGACCCAGAAATGCCACTTCTGGGACTATATCCTGGGAGCCCAGAAACACACATCAGAAACACCATCTGCTTCTTTATGTTTATTGCAGCACTTTTCGCAATACCCAGAACCTAGAAACAACCCAAGTGCCCAAGAACAATCAACTGTTTAAAGAAACTATGGCACATCTACACAATGGAATACTATATAGCCACCAGGAAAAATGAAGTTATAAAATTTGGTTATAAGTGGATAAACATGGAGAGTACCATGGTGAGTGATATGAGTCAGGAAGACAGATATAGAATGACTGCATTCATTTGTGGGATATAAATATATATGGATATAAACATATATATGTATACATATACATACATATATATATATATAAAATGAGACTAATATCCAAGCCAAAAAAAAAAAAAAAGGACATGGGGGTCTGGTCAATAGTTGGAAGCTTGCCACAAAAGTGTCCGGAGGATGAAGGCAGTTAGGATAGAGAATGCTGTATGACAATAATAGATGGAAACGTTTATTGTGGACAGGAACTGATTGTTGAAAGTAGGTAAAGGGATATACCTAAGAACCTTTCATTATCTGTGTTGTAAATCATAAGGCCCAAAAGAGGGTGGGGAAGTGGGGGAGGGACAGCACAATGAGAACACTGGTAGTGGGAAACATACACTGGTGAAGGGATGGGTGTTGAACATTGTACGATTGAAACCCAATCATGAACAGCATTGTAACTGTGCACTGTGATTCAATTAAAAAAAAAAAAAACTAAAGAATAAGAAAAAATGGACTGGAGTGACAGGATAGGATGCAGAGCATTTGTCTTGCACGTGGCTGAACTGGGATTGACCCCTGGCACCCCATTCGGTCTCCACCCACTGGCACCACATATGGTTCCCCAAGACACCAGGAATGATTCCTGAGTGCACAGCCAAGAGAATGCCCTGACCACTGCCCAGTGTGGTCCAAAAACCAAAAAGAAAAGAGGACTCACAAATGAATCTCGGCAGAGAGCAGCTCATTGCAGAGATGTCTCCCCACTCGCCAAGCTAATTTCATCCACGCACCTTGGAGGGGGGCAGGTGTGTCTGTCTGCCTGCCCCTAAAGAACACCGGCAGCCACAAACCTCCAGAACCCAACTGCCGCCATGCTCATGGTGAACTTATACAGGCTCGCCCGAGCCCCCGACACATGAGATAGAATCCACAGAAAAACCCAGGTATGTGGGACCAGTGACTGAAAACTCCAGGCTGGGCTGGAGCGGTTGTACAGCAGGTAGGGCATTTGCCTTGATGCAGCCGACCTGGGTTCGATTCCCAGCATCCCATATGGTCCCCTGAGCATGGCCAGGAGTAATTTCTGAGTGCAAAGCCAGGAGTAACCCCTGTGCATCGCCGGGTGACACCCTCCCCCCCAAAAAAAACCAAAAAAAAAGGAAAACTCCAGCTTCCAGAGTGGGGAATGGACCCCTCCTCCCATCTCCCTGTGCTTCCGGGTTCCTGGCAGTCAGGCCCACAAATTGTATCTGGGCACCATTTAAGCCATTAAGGGTTATAATCCAGAGACTCACAAATGAAACTCAAAGACAGCAGCATACAGCAGAGATGCCTGTGGACCCCCAAATCCAACATGTTAGTGATCTCTAATACACGGGCTTAATGGCTTCAAGGAGAGATACAACAATTTTCACACACTTTCTTCTAAGGAAAAATTTTGGGATCATTTTCAGTCAATCATTCATAACAAGTAGTACAAAATAAAAATTATTCAGCATCTGCCTCTGGAGCAGGCTTGGGTGGTGGTGGGAAGGTGTAATGGTGATGGATTGGTGTTGAAATACTGAATGCACACAATCACTGTGAACAATTATGAAAATGTAATTTAAGAAAAGAAAAGAAAAAACAGCAAAACAGGCTACAGGTATATGGCTCAGAAGAACAGCATCTGCCTTGTAGGCTTCATGAAGTCTTGAGTTCAGTCCCCAGCACAGTCCCACATGCCACATGTAATCTTCGCAACACTGTCATTTATAATCCCCATGTCACACAAAATGAGTCTTCAAGCAAAGTTCAACAGACCTGGAGGATTTAAATAACTGGATAGTATTCTCTCATCAGAACATAATCAAATCTGAGTCAATATTAGAATTATAACAGGAAACATTCCATATAATCCGAAGTGAAAAATCAGTCTCAGTGGAAATAAAATAAAATTGTAGGACAAACTGAAAGCACTGCTAAGAGGGAAATTTACAGCATGTAATGAAGAAATCTGAAAACAGGGGAAAGCCGGAAACAAAAAATCTAAGCTTTCATGGGACTTGAGAGATAGCCCTTGCAGATAGCGGACAGGCATTTGATCGGCAGTCCCATATGGTCCCCTGAGCACTGCCAATAGTAATCCCTGAGTGCAGAGCCAAGAGTAACCCTGAGGATCACTGAGGATTACCCACAAATCAAGTAAACCCCCCCAAAAAAGTACCCCATTAAAAAACCTTCACACCTTAGAACCTAGAGTTAAAAAAAAAAACCAAAGCAAACAAAATATAAGACAAAAAATAATAGGGAAAAATCAGTAAAACTAAGTGCCAGTTCTTCAAAAAGATCATTGGCGCCTCCCACAAAACCTCAAGTAAAACTGATGTAGGGTGGGGTAAGGAGAGCCCCTGTGCACAGTCAGCTTCGGAAAACTCTCCCCCAGTCAATCATTCATTTGGGAAGAGCTGGGAGGTAAGGTCCAAGGGCTAGAGAGAATACCGGATTAAGGCACCATGCTGATCCTTTAAGCATTGCTGGTGTCAGCTCAGAGGTCCCACCAGGTGTGGCACCAAGTAACCCTGAGCACTACCAGAGTAGCTCTGGTGGCCCAAGAACCGAAGGGTCTGAGCAGCACCACATCCTAGGCCCTCACATTGAACTGCCAGTCTACAATGTCAAAATTCACCATGAGTGGGAGAGAGAGAAGAGAGAGAAGAGAAAGAGAGGGGAGAGAGAGATTGTGAGAAGAGAGAGAGAGAGAGAAAGACAGAGAGAGAGACAGAGACAGAGAGAGAGAGACAGAGAGAGAGAAAGAGAGAGAGAGAGAGAGAGAGAGGCCTGGGAGAAGCTTGATGAGCTGCTGTGCAGGTATTGCATGCAAGAGGCTGGGCTTAATGCCTGTTACCATTGGTCCTCGAAGCACCAAGATACCAAGGCACAAAGTCAGGAGTAGTAGCCCAAGCAAAGGGGCAGGTGGGAGAGAAATCTCCTGCTACATATTTATTATTCATCAGACAATGTACCCAATGTTTAAAAAGTAACACCTACAAATTTTCTCTACAAATCTCTTTCAAAAGTAAGAGAAAACAGGACCACAGAGAGAACAGAGAGAACAAGGATAAGGTGTGGGCTTGCATACGACTGGAGCCAGTTTGATCCTAAGCACCACAGATGATCCCAGTGATCTGAGCTATCCCTGAGCACAGAGTCAGGAGTATTGCTGGATGGAACCCAAAAAATAAAAGGAAATAACTGACAAGCCAATTTAGCAAAGGTGACAATATTATATTAAAATGAACTACTTGCTGGATTGGAGAGAGATGAAGGCAACTCATTTGGTCCTCCAAGCTCCAGGAGTGACACCTGAGCCCAGAGCCAGGAATAAGCCCTGAATACCTGGGGTGTGGCTCAAAAACCAAAGGGGAAAAAATTTCAAGTGCTTGCACCCAGTACATGAATGATCTCTATATGAAAGTTTCATTCATTTTATTAGTAAATTAATAATACACAGGAATTGTTAAACACACTTTAGATTAAATTCTAGGATTAAAAAAATCAATAATAAAAACATACTGTCTTTGGCTGCTGATTCACTTTTTTATCTTCTAGATCCTTGAATTTTGATCGAAAAGAGACCATTTTCTCTTGAAGTTCTGGTGTACATAGTTCATACACATCCAACATAAGAGGAAATTTAACATCCTAAGTATAAATCAAAAAGAAAAACACATAGTTGAAAACCCTGACTTCTTAAGACTAAAATTTTTAAACATTTTCCATTATTTTAATCTATGGGCGTGGTCAGAGTAATCAAAATTATATGAAAATTTCAGAAACATTAGACTAATTTCTGTGAGAATGGGACCTACAGCAGAGTCAATTTACAAATGAGATCTCTTACAACTTTTTTAATGAAATAAAATATCACACTGTTAACAATGGGCTGGAGTGATAGCACAGTGGGTAGGGCATTTGCCTTGCATGCGGCCGACCCGGGTTCGATTCCTCCATCCCTCTCAGAGAGCCCGGCAAGCTACCAAGAGCATCCCACCCACACAGCAGAGGCTGGCAAGCTCCCCATAGCAGATTCAATATGCCAAAAACAGTAACAAGTCTTACAATGTCTGAATCTATATTAGATAACTAATTGACAGTAAATAACCAACTACATTTAACTTAACTTTCTCATGTGATACTACATTTGAAAATGTACTATGAATTTCAGCTCAATAAGGAAGAGTTCTGTACAACTTCCCCAAAGACCAGAGCTCTGGACATGCAGCAGAAAGCTACAACAGATCAATAAAACCATTAAGTCGGGGCCAGAGCAATAGGGCAGCAGGACAATTTAGGTTTGATCCCCAGTATCCCACGTGGTCCCCCAAACACCACAGGAGTAATTTCTGAGTGCAGATCAGGGATTGTAATCCCTGAGCATCGACAGGTGAGGTTCGAAAATCCAAAAATAAATACCATGAAATACAATAAAACCATTAAATCACAAGGCTGGCTCCTACATCAAGATATTATTCTTGGACACCAGTAATTTAACTTTGTTCTTTCACCCGCTAGAATGTTATACTGTCCCCTACCGACTCCATCCCCAAACCCATCTGACTGTTGATCATTTATTATTTTTTTAAACAGTTTTAGAAATATCACAAGGAAAAGAGAGGAAGAAGGGCAGGAAATGGGGGTACCAAAAGGGGAGGGAGGGAGACAAGGGGGAGAGAGAGGGAGAGATCTTCCAGATGATTTCCAGATGAGGGGATGCAATGCACGCTGATTCACTTTATCTTTTAGAGACCAGTATCTTGGAACATAACCTCTGGTGCTGCAAGCTGCCTATGTAGTCTAGAGCAGTGTTTATGGGAGTAGAGGGCATCTATAAAAATTATCTGGGAGGGGGGAAAGGGTGTTGTCCCTCAGTCTACTTCCCCCTGGCAGTTCAGTGGCCGTCATCCTCCTGGGGCCATCAGACAGTCAGGTTTGGGCCCACAGTGACGAGACACCCAGGACCTTACGGGATGGGGGTGGAGCTGGTCCTGTCCTCCCCACCCCAACAAGACCCCAAGTCATCACCCATGAACAGCCTTTCTGGATCTGATCAAGCTGCTTAACAGCCATGATCCCAGAGACTCAGGAGCGAATCTCGGAACTCAACAGGTTTTGGCAGAAATCCCTCCAGATTTAAGTGTTAAAATTTTGAAATTTCAAAATGGCGCAGCCACTACTGCAGCCACACAACATCATATATTATTCATAACCAGCATTAGAAAATAGTCTACTGTTGCCTTTTCAGCAGCAGATCTGAGTGTTGTGGTAAAATCCCAAATAATAATGGTGGGTCTGGTGTCAAAATATTGAATGTGATCAAAGTAGAGAGAGAGTAATGTGGAAATCATCTGCCCCACAGGTAGGGGGAGGGTGTGGGATAGGGTAGTATACTGGGGTTGTTGGGGGTGGAGAACGGGCACTGGAGAAGGGATGGGTGTTTCATTGTATGACCGAGACTTAGACCCGAAAGCTTTGTAACTGCTCTCATGATGATTCAATAAATAAAATTATAAAAAATGAAAAAAAAAAGGTAAAGTGGAGTTCATGCACAATTCAATCAGCTAATCAGTGGCAGAATGAATAGCAATACTCCTACATTAAAAAAATCATCTGGAAATCTTTTGAAAAGAAGACTTTAAACTCCATTTGATCAGTTAACTAAGGGTGAGGAAAGGAGTTACCAAGGCAGGACAACTGTATGATTTAAAATTTTAAAGGACAATAGACAATTATAATACAATACACATTCTTGGTTTAAAACCACTTACATGGTGTAACTTAAGGAATTCATTATAATTTTTATTATTTATTTGTAAATTATACATTAATTTATATAAATTTTATTTGTTATATTTATATTATTTATGTATTTAATTTATTTATAATAACATTTATTGTAATTTGGGGGGCTGGAGCGATAGCACAGCAGTAGGGTGTTTGCCTTACACGTGGCCACCCTGGGTTCAATTCCTCCACCCCTCTCGGAGAGCCTGGCAAGCTGCCCGTGACATATTCAATATGCCAAACACAGTAACAAGTCTCACAATGGAGACGTTACTGGTGCCCGCTCAAGCAAATCAATGAACAGGAAGACAGTGCAGTGCTACTTCTAAAGGAATTTTTTAAAAGGCTTTATTATAAATTAGGAACTGCCTTCAAATTATATAGTATTTTATTATATGAAGTGCATTACTAACCTTAAGAACTTTAGCATTCACAGATTCCTTCTCTTTGTAAAAAAATCGAACCATCTGTATAGTTAAGTAAGCAGGTAGCCGGCTGATCTTGGACTAAAGAGAGAAAACAAATCATATTGCAAGTCAAACTGCACACAAATGTTTAATTCTTTGGATTAATGAAAAGGATTGGGGTGTGCGAGAGAGAGAACAGTAGGTATGGCACTTGCTTTGCAAGTGGCTGACTTGGGTTCAAACCTGAACACCTTATATGGTCCCCCAAGGCTATTAGGAATAATCCCTGAATTCAAAACCAGGAATAAACTCGGAGCATAGCCAGGCACGACACAAAACAAGCAAGCAAACAATAAAAACTGGGCAACATGACATTAACCACAAATTTCAATGAAATGAAATTCAACTTAAAAAGGAAAATACAACTTACAGATTTGATGTACAAAGCATTCCTTTGCAAGGTTGGAGACTGTTTAGTGATTTCTTCCTGAAGACGCTGAAAAAGATCAAACATTAGGCCAAAATTCTTTCTACAACATAGAACACCTTTAATTCTGATAAAAATAAATGCTAATCAAAATGTACAGTACACAAATGGGTTTCTACCAGGGGAAGTCAGAATGAATGAGAAGACTTTAACATATACTTTTAGGTTTTGTTCTATTGTTTTGTTTGTTTGTTTTTTAACAGCATCAAAAAACATACACTGGTGTGACAATCTCAAAATATAATGCTTGAACTTTTTAGTAATGACCCAACTATTATTTCGCCTCTGGAAGGTTTTTTGTTTCTTTCTTTAGTGTTGGGGCCATATCCAGCAGAGCTCAGGGTACCAGACCTGGGCTTCCTGTGAAATGCATGTGACGTGTTCAGCTTTTATGATGTTTACCCAACCATTCGAGAGTTTATACTCTATGTTAGAGAAGAAAGCCTTTTATGGTGTTCCTCATTTATGAAATTTCAGAATATTCATACGAGAAGTGTTAAAAAAGAAAACCCAGGGTTAGAGAGATCTAAGACAAGGGTAGGTAAGGCTCTTGTTTTGAATATGACAAAGCTAGGTTCAATTCCCAGCACCACATATGCTGAGCACTGCCAGGAATGATCCTGAGCACAGAGCCAGAGGTAAGCCCTGACCACCACAGCACAGGGTCCAAAAACAAACAAACAAAATCAACAGAAAATGGGAAACCACTGTTCTATATGCTTTGTTTTTTTATTTTGTTTTCTATGTTTGATGTGTCAGTATTTTCCAGAAACAGTCAATATTGGTTGATTTGGAAAAAGGAAACCTCTGTTAATCTAATAAATGTAGAAAAGACTTTACATGAAACATCTTCAGCATCATAACTCCTTTACTATTTTCTTACACCCTGTTTAACATTAGGGAAGGGAGTAATCCCTTTGGGTATCATCTGTTAATGCTGATAATGGAACCTATCCTTTAAGTGATCTTGTTAGATTTACATAAGTGAATATGTAGGAAACTTGGAAAACTGTAACATAGATATTCCACATTCAAGAAATTATTAGCTATTACTTCTAACATCAAAAAAGAGTTACCACAAATGTTCTTGGCTTTAGGATTATAAACACATAAGAAAGCAGCCCAGAGCTGAAGACAGTTCAATGGACTGAGCTGCAGGAGACCTAGGTGTTTCCTGGCACCGTGTGGCCTGAGTATAACTGAGAACGAGGGAAGGAGAAAGAGGACAAGGGGGAGAGGGAGGGAAAGAAGGCTGGCAGACAGGCAGCTTATTGACTTGAGAAAATAGCTCAAAGGGCTACAGCTTTGCCTGCAGGAGTCCAAGGTTTTGAGCAACAGAGCATGGTCTCCCAAGTACCACTGGGAGTCTATGTGTGTGTATGTATGTATATAGCTCCAAGGCTGGAACGTGTTCTTTCCATATAGGAACCTCTGGCTCAACCGCTGGCACTACACGGTCCTTGGAGCACTGAGCCAGTGATTTCAGTTCTGAACTGGGAGTAGGCCCCATCCATAAGACTAGGTGTGGCACCCAAATCAGAACAAAATTAATCAAATCCATCGCATTATAGGGGCCAGAGCAATAGTACAGCAGGTAGAATGTTTGCCTTACACGCAGCTGACTCAGGTTTGATCCCTGGCATCCTATATAGTCCCCTGAGCACTGCCAAGAGTAACCCCTGAGCCTTGCCAGGTGTGCCCACCCAACACCAAAAAACAAAACAAAACAAAAAAATTAATCACATTACAAAAAGAATGACAGTGGAGTTACTTTGAAACATTTAATCAGGTTTATTAAGAAGCAAAGAGGAAGAAAAATATTGAGATAATTACTCAAGAATATTCAGAACAAATGATAAACCATCTAAAAAGATATCAAGACAATAAATGTCATACCACATGTTTCTTCACAACAGATTCCCAAATTTACTTGGCCTACTATTTCTTTTCAGGAAAAAAAAAATTAACCTGTGCTATCCTGAAACTCTCCCTTCTTTAAAGAAACATTAAGTGCCCATGATTACTACCTACCACCACCACCACCCCAAATCATTGAGCACCACTTATTTAAAAGTTCCAAGTTAATCTTCCTAGTGTTTAGTTGTTTTCAGGTAACACCCAGCAGTGTTCAGGAACTACTCCTGGCTTGGTGCAGGAGGGGCACTTGAGGGTCATGGTGCTTAAGGAAAGGTGGTCTTTGGTGCTGGGGATCAAACTCAGGCTCCAATATGTCAAGCATCATTCCAGCCCCTACATGTTCTGAAGTTTTATAAAATTACAAAGAAAACCTGCCTGTCCATGGAAAAGCATTATACTCTAATTTTTAATTAACTACTATATTTCATGTTTGACTATCTAAAACCTAAACATCAAAATCTATTGTAGGACTTGATAATTAGCTAATATTTATATGCTTTAAAAACAACTTCTTGGAGCTGAAGATATAGCACAGCAGGAAGGGTATTTGCCTTGCACACAGCAGACACGGGTTCAATCTCCAGCACTCCTTATAGTCCCCCAGGCACCACCAGGTATAATTTCTGAGCAGGGTCAGGAGTAAGCCCTGAGCATCACCAGGTGTGGCACGAAAAAAAAAAAATTTCAACTTCTCTTAGGGTCAGGATGTACTTCAATGGCACAGCACTTTCCCTGAACACATCAGGGCCTGAATTTGAACCCCATCAGCAGAAAAATAAAAGTACTTTTCTTAACAGTCATTATACCGGATCAATACACAACTCTGATATGATTTTTATTTCCTCCGCTCCGCTTTATAATTGAGCTGACCAAGCCCAGAGGTGGCATACACGCCTGGCAGTGGAACGTGCTGGAGGGTATCAGGTTGTGGTGCTTGCACAATGGGCAACAGTGCTCCCCATAGGATGCATTCCTTTAGTTGAGGTGCTGGCAAACATGTGAGCATTTGTATGTGCGTGTGGTTGGGTGGGGGGAGCATTTTTTGTGGCAAGGGGTTCCTGACCCCTGTCGGTACTCATATTATTCCTGGCTCTGCACTCAGGTATCACTACTGGTGGGCCTCAGGGGAGCAAATCGAGCGCTAGAGATTGAACCAGAGTTGGAGTGCAAAGGTGAGCTATCTGCTATACTATCCCTCCTGTCCCACAAGTGAGCATTCTTAGTTGAATGCTCACACTGGACATTAATTGCAGTGCCCACACATGTGCTCACTAGGGGTCACTTTCTAGCTGCAGCATAGGCACCCCTTTCTGTAGTGCTTACACACAGCTGGTTATAGTATATCCAGAAACTGCTTGCAGCTTTGGGGCGCACGGACATGTTCAGCACATGTGTGACGGGGATTTGAACTGATGACCCTATGCCTGCAAGGAAATCATTCTTCACCTCTGTGCCTCACAATCTTCTTTTATGTGTTTGTTTGGCACCTTCCTTAATATATACAGTGAAATCATTAACTCAGAAATCACGCCAACCACACTTGATCTCATCCCCAAAATAAAAAAAGCTCATTTTCTACGTAAGGCTTATCACAACTTCTTACAGCATTAATCAACTCAGAATGATACCAAAAGGCCATTTCAAAAAGCAAAATTAGGGGGCTGGAGCAATAATAGCACAGCAGGTAGGGTGTCTGCTTTGCACAGAGTTGACCCAGATTCGATTCCCATCATCCCATATAGTCCCCCGCAGCACCACCAGGAGTGATTCCTCAGTGTAAAGCCAGGAATAACTCCTGAGCATCGCAGGGTAGGACCCCAAAAAAAAAAAAAAGCAAAATCACCAAAATGCAACAATGGGTCACATTTATAGAGCAAAAAGGATATTTGTTTTGAAGAAGGCACTATAGGGTCTTCTCACACCTTGACTGGCACCGTGTGGCGGGCTACTTTGAAGAGCCTGCCAGTCCTAAGACCATCAAAGCAGGGCTAGACAGACAATACAGGATGTAAGGCACTTTTCGTGTACAAGGCCAACCCCAGTTTAACCCCCAGCACCATATGTGGTTCCCCAAGCACTCCTAGAGTGATTCCTCAGCATAGAGCCATGAATAAGCCCTGAGTACAGCCAGGTGTGGACCCAAAACAAAACAAAGACCATAGAAGTACTGGGGTTGGAGCGACAGTATAGCAGGTAGGGTGTTTGCCTTGCATGCAGCCAGCCCAGGTCGATCCTTGGTATCCCATATGGCCTCCCAAGCACTGCCAGGAGTAATTCCTGAGTGTAGAGCCAGAAGTAACTCCTGAGCATCACTGGGTGTGACTCAAAAACAAAACAAAAACAAAAGTACAAGTACTGATGTTGTGGTTACAAATAAACTTAAGTACATTCAAAACACAAAAAGAACACAAGAATAATGACAAGCAATCAAAATTGTCCTTACCAATTTAAGCCCTGTAAAAAGGTACTTGACTTCCTGATTGATGAAACAGCTGAGCTGAAGCTGATTCTCCTTTCCTTTGGTGACCTCCTCTTCCTCAGATTCTGTACACTTCATACTTTGCAAAATATGATAAGGAATATGCAAGGGACACTGGGTTTGCTACACAATTCTGAATAAAAGAAATTATCCTAATGCTATCAACATTAATAACTTTTTTGCTGTTATTTAAATCACTTTATTTGTCTCCCAATATCCATTTCAACATGTTTAAGAATATTCATCAAAAACCAGAATGATAGAAGAGTGGGGAGAGCCTATGTTTGAGCACTGTCAGGAGTGATCCCTGAGTGTAGAGCCCTGAGCACTGCCAGATGTGGCCCTGTGCAAAGAGTCACATGTTCAATCCCTGGCACTGTAATACCAATGGAAAAGACCCCAGAGCACCAAACCAGAAGCAACCCAAATACCAAAAAAAAATGCTAAGTATAAATTGATATTTAGTATGGTCTTAATAACTCAAAAGTACATAAGCAAAAATCTTATCCTAAGTTTCTATTCATGACCAAGTAAATAGTAGTTGCCTGAAATTCTCTTTATTAATTGGCAAAATCTTATATACATAATTTACTTTGGATATATGTTTCATAAAATTAAATATTTAAAGTAAATTAATGAGGCAGACTCTGCTAAAGATATTTTTATAAATTAAAATACCCATGAATTACACATTTATGTAAACTTTCAGATCATTCCAATGGATATATTTTCCCAAATTCCTAATTACCACTTTTAGGCATAACAACTTCCAAAAAAATTTTATTTCAGATATAATCCACCAATGTCAACTCTTATATAACTCAATTCACGTGAAGCATGAATATTTGATAAGGATACGTAGTTTCAAATTCAACTCCGAAGAACTGATCAATTAAACTTTTCTTTTTCGAAGGTGTTGATGCTGCTGCAGATGAGTCTGTCTGCAAATATTAACATGAAATAAATATTCCAATTTTACTCTTTACAGATATTAGTGACTATTTCCTCTCAACAGTCCATGTTAGTAATACATGTTAAAGCTTTCAAAAATTGGGCTGGAGAAGGGCAGTGGGTAGAGTGTTTGCCTTACACATGGCAGACCCAGGTTTGGTTCCCGGCATCCCATATGGTCCTCCAAGCACCACTAAAAGTTATTCCTTAGTGCAGAGGAAGGAAGTACCCCTGAGCATTACCAGGTGCAATCCCAAAACAAAAAATAAATACGTGTGTGTGTGAGTGTGTGTGCACGCACGTGTGTGTCTATGTCAAAATAAAGTTTTCGAAACTGTAATCCTTGGAGACAAAGAGAGATAGAACAGGGTGTTTGCCCTTCATGAAGCCAATCCCTGTTGGATTTCCAACACTACATATGGTCCATCTGGCATCACCAGGAGCAAGCCCTATCTACAAAGTCAGGAGTAATCCTTTGACTTCTGGGTGTGGCCCCCAATATTTTTTTTAAAGTAATTCTTTTCTGTAAAATTTTTCTACTATACAGATTACAGATATTAAACATTATCAATTAAGTTTCACAGTCAATATATTGAATTCAAATGTCAGATGTGAGCTTTCAAATTATAACTAAAGACTGAACATTAAAAGTATTCTAGTTTTTAAGAGAAATTTATTTAAAGAAGAGGTAAGGGGGTGGAGAAATAAAGGTAAAGTCCATAATAAAAGCAGTTTTCAATTACCTCTTTAACAGAATCATCCTCTATGGCTTCCAATTTCTGTTGCAATACTCTCATCATTTGTACCCAACATTCATTTGCATCCTGTAATTAAAAAAAGTAACATAGTAATACTGTGATCATAAAAAAAGAAACCATTCAGGACATGGGACAATCTCACTGATCTGTGGTATATACATTGTCTGGGTGAGGAACTGTAACGTAGTAAAAGAGGGGCTGCCTAGATCACCCTGTACCCCAAAGTTTATGGAGGAAGAAAACAGAGAAGGGAAGAAATTAAGAGCAAAAGGAAGATGACAAGAAAAAAAACTACTGGGAAAATAGGGCTTGGGGTTTCATTACACTGACATGGGAGAGGGGTTCAGCTATATATCCAAATGCAGACTCAGTAGCACTGAAAACATGAGACTAAGGTGTAACCACTAAATCTGCCCTGTGCCTGTCCAGGTACCCGGTGGGATGGAGAATGGCAGCTCTGGTGGAGAGAAGCTGACACTGGCAGTTAGGATTGGTGTTGAAATATTATATGCAATAGTACAGCGGGCAGGGCATTTGCCTTGCACACAGCTGAACTGGGTTCAATCTCTGGCGTCCCATATGGTCCCCCAAGCACTGCCAGGAGTAATTATTGAGTGCAGAACCAAGAGCATCACTGGGTGTGACTCCCCCAGCATAAAAAAAAAGTGTATGTGTGTGTATATAATATATATATATAACTCAATTATCCATAACTTTGTAAATCACAGCTCTTTAAGCTGTGATTTAACTTTGTAAATCCAGCTCTTTAATTAAGTGAAAAATTATTTTTTTTTTTAAAGTATCCTTTCAGGGCCAGAGAGACAACATAGGGGGTTAAAGTGCAACCCTGTATTGAGCCAACCCAGGTTCCATTCTGGCACGACATGATCCCAGTCTCCCAAGTACAGTCCTGGAGGTCCCTGAGCACACTGAGCAGTGTTGGTAATCCCCACTGCAGTGCCCTCACACCAACGTATTCTCAAGCACCTGCATTCCATGAACAAAACAAAACAAATCCAGAATACAGGTAGACAGAATATCACAAGTTCATTTGAAGAGCAATATGGAAATGTGATTAGAAAAAAGGAACCATGCTATTTCAACAGCATGCTGGACAACCTCTGGATGCCTTAAAATTTCAGCAAGAAAAACTGAAGGAAATATGCCATGAAAACTGGGGGGTTTCAGAACAGAAAAATAGCCAGTTTCTCTAGAGAGATTAAAGAATGAAAAGGCACATGATGAGTTCACAGAAAAGTCAGGAGCTAAGTAATTTAGGATTAAATAGAAAATCCCTGAAGGTGACATTGGTGGTAGGAAATGTACACTGATGAAGGGATGGGTGTTGGAACACTGTATGACTAAAACCCAGTCATGAACAACTTTGTAACTGTAAATTTCACAGTGATTCAATAATAAATGAAACAAAAAAGAAAAAATATCTAGTGATAAAGAACAAGAGGCACACATAAACATATATATATATATATATATATATATACACATATATATTGGTTTTTAGGTCACACCTGGTGACACTCAGGGGTTACTCCTAGTTCTGCACTCAGGAATTATTCCTCAGAGTGCTCAAAGAACTATATGGGATACCGGGGATTGAACCTCAGTCGGCCAGGTGCACGGCAAGCACCCTACCTACTTTAATATTGACCTGGTCTCCTCTTACAGTTTTTGAAAGGCTCTGGGGATTGAAGATGAAAAATCAATAATCAGTGTGAAGCAGAAAGGACTGATATGATATTCTTTTATATATAATCCAATAAATGTATTTGTAGGAAACATAAACTTTACAGTTACAACAAAACCAGAGACCATCCCTCTTTACCTGCTGAAGATATTGTCCTTGTTCACCCTTTTCTGCAAACTGCGGGAAAGCCATATGCAAGAACTGCAGCAGAATAATAGGCGGAATACTAGAAGAAGTTTTATCCATGGAATCAAACAAATCTCTAAGGGCTTAGAAACAAACATTAAAAGCAAACATTCCATTAGTAAAACCATAATATATAACATATATAAATTTATTTATTTTTAATTGAATTACCATGAGATAATGGTAATCAAAGCTGCTTATGATTGGATTTCAGTCATATAATGTTATAACACCCGTCCCTTCACCAGTGTACATTTCACACCACCAATGTTCCCAGTTCCCTTCCTGCCCAGCCCCTGCCCACCACCCCGCCTCTATGGCATGGCAGGCTCTCAGATATCTCTCTCTCCTCTCTCTCTTTTCTCTCTCCTCTCTCTTCCCTCTCTCTCTCTTCTCTCCATCTCCCTCTCTCCCTCCCTCTTTCTCCTTTCTGTGTTATGGTTTGCAGATATAAAGTATGTCCCTTTACCTAATTTCTCTCTTTTCTCTCTCCTCTCTCTTCCCTCTCTCTCTCTTCTCTCCATCTCCCTCTCTCCCTCCCTCTTTCTCCTTTCTGTGTTATGGTTTGCAGATATAAAGTATGTCCCTTTACCTAATTTCAATGCTCAATTCTTGTTCAGAGTGATCACTTCCAGCTATTACTGTCATGATGGTCCCGTCCTATCCTAACTGCCCTTCACCCCAAACACACTTGTGGCAAGCTCCTAACCAGTGACTGACCATGACACATTAATGCATTAATAAATCCCCAGTTAATACAAACATAAACCTGTTCAATTATTTTTAGGTAAATCACTCCTTTTACAATTTTTGAATTCCTACTAAGATTTGTCTCACATATGTGAGGCCCTGGATTTAAATACTGACCTGCAGTAATATACTGTGCTGAAGCCATTTCCCCTGAAGCTCTCAAGGCACCTGCATACCTAGGAATATTAAAGCAGAATTAATAAGTTTCAGTTTATTCTAAAATACATATGACTGAAATACATATGATAAGACTACTTATACCCTCACCACAAATTTATCAAAGCTGTTACCATCTTTTTATTTTCTTTTCTTCTAGTTTTATAAATAATATCAGCAAAAGAAAATCACTAAGAAAAAAAAGTGAGGTAGGTCCTGGAGATACTACAGTGGGTAGGACCCTCATTTTACACATGATTAACTCAAATTCAATCCCCAGCACCACATCTGATCCTACAAATCCCACCAGAAGTGATCCCCAAGACCAGAGAGATAGTACAGCAGGTAGGGCGTTAGCCTTGCAGGGGGTTGACCTAGGTTTGATGCCCCCAGAACCTTTTATGGCCCCTGAGCACCACCAGGAGTTATCCCTGAGCATCACTGGATGTGGGCCCCCCAAAAGAGAAGTGATCCATGAACACAGAACCAAGAGTAGCCCCTGAGCACAGTTAGGTGGGCCTAATTTCCTTTATTCTCACCCCACAAAAAAAAAAAACAATCTTTTTAGACTTACCTTTTAAGGGCATCTTTCAGTTCAGGCACAGAACGAATGCACTGAACTGTAGCATTCATGTAACAAGTGTTACCAAGATTTGTCAATCCGCATGGTAATTCCATCTAGGAAAAAAATTAAGCTACATCAAAATGTTTCATTTTTATCCTGTTTGTACTATCATGAAAGCAAAACAGACATGGCCAGGGTTACTAAATATAAAAATATGGCATCATTGGGGGGAGAAAAGATAAGACAAGGATATGACCCAGTGTTCCAGGAACTGCCTTATATTATTGAGACCTGGGCTAGATCCCAGGCACACAAAGAAAAGAGAAAGAGAAAGAAAAGAAAAAGAAAAAGAAAAAGAAAAAGAAAAAGAGAAGAGAGAAGGGAGGGGAAGGGAAGGGAAGGGAAGGGAAGGGAAGGGAAGGGAAGGGGAGGGGAGGGGAGGGGAGGGGAGGGGAGGGGAGGGGAGGGGAGGAGGGGGGGAGGGGGGGAGGGGCTGGAGGGATAGCTCAATGGGCTGAACGAATGCTCTACATGCATGCTGCCTAGGTTGATCCCTGGTATTAGGATCCCCAAAAAGAGAGTAATTCCCAAGCACTGCCGGAGTGGCCCTAAAAACAAAAAATTAAATTTTAAAAAAGAGTGTGGGAGATATAATACAGCAGATTATATCTGCTTGCCCTGCATGCACCAGACTCGCACTGGATCTCTGGCACTACATCCCTCGGGGCCTAACAGGAGTGATCCCTGAGTACAGGGCAGGAGTAAGCCCTGAGCACTGCCAGGTATGGTCCAAAATCAACAACAAACAAAATAATAAAAATTTAAGCAATTAAGGATAAAAACAGCACCACAGGACCCAAGTACTGAACTCCAATTATCACTAGGGACTGAGCATGTACCCCTGGAAAACTTGAAGGGTGGTAACATCCTTCCCTAAATAAAATAAAAAGAAAGCTGCCAAAAAAGAAGAAAATATTTACAAATCACCTATCCGAAAAGAGACTAGTATTCAGAAATAAAAACCATATATACTATTGAAACATAAGCAAAGATCCTGGACAGTTCTCCAAAAAAGAGATAGCACATAAAAAGATACTCAGGCCAACAGCACATAAAAAGATACACCAGGGCACATATGCTGCCCAAGCCCATGGGCTGCTTGTGCCCATGCAGCCTAGCACATGTGGCGGCTGAGCACGTATCGCCCATATCTCCCCTCTTAAGATGTATACTTTCATGTTTTCGTGTCTAATGCTGGTATGTGTGTAGAGGCTCTCTTTGCCCTTGGAGAAGCCCACGTTCTCTCTTGAGTACGTTACTCTCACTCACTCTCTCCCTCTCCACACCTTAAAAATCCTCCAAATAAAATCCGTTTATTTAAAAAAAAAAAAAAGATATTTGGGGCTGGAGTGATCATACAGCAGGTAGGGCGTTTGCCTTGCACGCAACTGACTTGGGTTCGATTCCCAGCATCCCATATGGTGCCCTGAGCACTGTCAAGAGTAATTCCTGAGTGCAAAGCCGGGGGGGGGGGGGGAACCCAAAAAGAAATAAAAAAAAAGATACTCAGTATCCCAGGTCAATAAATAAATGCAAAAATGGGAGTGGAGTACAGCAGGTGGAGTGTTTGCATTACAAGCAGCTGATCTGGGTTCAACCCCCAGCACACAGAGCCAGGAGTCAGTACTGATTACTGCCAGGCTGCAAACCCCCGCCTCCCCCCACAAAAAAGCACCACGATGAGGTACTATTTCATACCCTTTAGATAGCTATAATCACAAGGCACCGGTAGAACTTTCCAAGAAAAAAACATCCAGTCCCATCAAAAGTAAGGGAAAGAAATGAACAGAAGCTTCCTCAAAGAAATACAAATGGTCAAAAGCACATAAAAAATGCTCTATATCACTAATCATCAGAATGATGCAAATCAAAACAATGAGATTATCATCCCACAACACAGAGACTGACACATCAAAAAGAACAAGAGCAGCTAATGCCATCATGGACGCAGGGAGAAAGGGATTCATCTTTATTGTTAGTCTGAATGCTGACTGGTCCAGCCTTTTTGGAAAACAATATGGGCATTCTCAAAAAGCTAGAATTGAGCTTCCATACAATCCAACAATCCCACTTCTGGGAACAGACCCCAGGAGCACACGAACACACAGCAGAAATGCTATCTGCACTTATATGTTCACTGCAGCACTATTTACAACAGCCAGAATTTGGAAACAACCTTAGTGCCCAAGAACAGATGACTGGTTAAAGAAACTATGATACATCTATACAATGGAATACTATGCAGTTGTTAGGAAAAATAGTTACAAAATTCACTTATAAATGGATGGATATGGAAAGTAACAGATTGAGTAAAAGGAGTCAGAAGACGGACAAATATAGAATGAGTGGACTTATTTGTGGGATATAAAAAAAAACAAAATGAGAGACTGGCGATAGAACAGCAGGTAGGGTGTTTGCCTTGCATGCTGTAGACCCAGGTTCAATCCTCAGCATCCCATACGGTCTCCTGAGCACCTCCAGGAGTAATTCCTGAGTGCAGAGACAGGACTAATCCCTAAGCACCACCTGTGACACCAAAACCATTAATAATAATAATAATAAAATTTAAAAAATATATATGAGACTGATATCCAGGGACAGCAGAAACAAGGATCAGGAGGACTGATCCATGGTTGGAAGCTTGCCTCAAGTGCTGAGGGAAAAAGCAGTTGGAACAGATAAAGAAAAACTATGACAAAGAGTAAAGGAAAAAACATGATAACCTCTCAATACCTGCACTGCAAAGCAAGGGTGGTGGGGAGGGGGTGGATGCCTGCCATAGAGATAGGCTCGGGGGAGGGTGGCGGGAGGGAAACTGGAGACATTCGTAGCTGTGGAGAATGTACAGTGGTGGAAGGATGGGTGTTAGAACACTGTATGACTGAAACACGACCATGTAACCTCTATCTCATGGTGACTCAGTAAAAAAAAAAAAAAAATTTTTAATGAAAAAAGGCTAGCTATAATCAATGACATAGTAACAAGATTGGTTTGGAGGTAGAATTTGAAACTACAATGCGAAAATTGTAAGATGGTACAGCAGTTTTGGAAAACAGGACTGAAGTTCCTCAAAATTCTATTAAATATAGTTATCATAAACAACAAAAAAAAAATCCATTCATCAGGAAGAATGCATGCTGCCTGCCCTGCATGCAACTAATCCCAGTTTGATTCCCAGCACTGCATGAACTCAAAGATTCCCAACCACAGAGCCAGAAACAGCCCCCAAGCACTGCCAGGTGGGACACAAGCCCCTCCCTTACTACTGCCCCCTCCCAAAAAAACATCAAGTGCACAAAAATTTGGGCTTACATGTTCACAGCAACACTAGTCATTACAGGGGTTGGAAACATAGTATAGTGGATAAGGTATTTGCCATGCATATACCCAATCCAGATTTGACCCTCAGTATCCTAGATGGTTCCCGGAGCAATGCCTAAAGTAATTCCTGAGTGCAGAGCCAGGAGTAACACCTGGACATTGCTAGTGTGAGCCAAAAACTTAAAAACAAAAATGAAAAACTAATAAAAAAAACAGTATAGCTAAAAAGAGAAAATAATTCAAATATCTATAAATTGATGGATGAATTTTAAAAGTCACTGTCCTCCCGTTGTTCATCGATTTGCTCTAGTGGGCCCAGTAACGTCTCCATAGTGACACTTGTTACTGTGTTTGGCATATCAAATACGTCACAGGTAGCTTGCCAGGCTTTGCTGTGCAGGCGAGATACTCTCGGTAGCTTGCCAGGCTCTCTGAGAGGGGCAGAGAAATCGAACCTGGGTTGGCCGACCCGGCCGGCATGCAAGGCAAACGCTCTACCCGCTGTGCTATTGCTCTGGTTTATCCATACAATGAAATAAAAAAGGGAAAAAGTACTGACACATGCTACAATGTGAATGTACTTAAAAAAACATTATGTTAAGTAAAATAGTGCACTACTACAAGCCCACATAGTATACATCTTTGCTTATATTACATGTCTAAAAATAGGCAAAATGTCTAAGTCAGAAAAGAAATTAATAGTTGGCAATCACTTTATGTGGAAAAAGTGTGACTGCTAATTAGTTTGAGGGGTTTTTTTAAAGGGAAGAAAGTAAAATTAGATTGTTGTGATGGTTGCACAATCTTGTGAATATAATAAATACCATTCAACTATGACTATAAGGACCATAATTTTTAAAGGGTGATTTGTGGGCTGCAGAGATCGTACAGGAGATAGGTCAATTGCCCTGCATGTGACCACAATAGCCAAACTCTGTTTTGAATCTGTGGGACCAGGTTTGGTCCCTGAGTACCTGCCCAGGGTCACTTTAGGGCACAGAGATCAAGTTCCTAAGTACTGGTGAGTGTGACCCAATTCCCCCATCCCTCAAAGTGCGGTGTGTATGAACTAAATGTCCAATTTATGATTCATAATGCAAATCTGATATGCATTAACTAGAAACTTCAAATTTTTCATTAGAGATTCTGCTTCCTGTTTTCAGGGTATTATTCAATAATGTGACTGTATCAGGACTAAAGATTAGGAGTACAGCACCTGCCTTGCAGCCTTGTATGTGAGGGCCTAGATTCATTTATAGCACCACCAGAAATAAGGCGGCGGGGGTGGGGGGGAGGTGAGATGGTAAAACAAAAGGGGACTTCAGGAAGGCCCATGCCCTTCCTTCATGCCTATGAACTGCCTAGGCGCCAAGTGGGCCATGAACCAGAGATTCATGAGAACTTTAAAAGAGATCAACAAGCTGCAAAGGTTCTTCTGGACACTGCATAAGGCTGAGTCCTCTGGGATAACTAGGAGGGGGGTCAGGTGAGTTCATTGCCCGCCCACACAGAGGTTCAGCAGCCAAAAACTTCCACACTCCACAATCGTCGCCATGCTTCCAGATGGACTCAGTCACTGCTTGGATGAGCCTCATCCAGAAATTAATCTGTTGAAAAACTTAAGAGATGCGGGGTTTGACTGGAATCTCCAGGCTTTCACAGAGTCAGAATGGACTATTTCCAGTCTCCTTGTACTTCCATAAGACCCTACAGTCATGCACATGCCCCAAAGCTACTATCCAGTTAAAACTTTAACGCCAGCTGTATTACCCCATTAAAAACGTTGACATCCTGGACTACCTGGCCACATTTGCGGCTGTACAACATCTCAAACTCCACAACACTGATGAACCTCCTGGTAACACACCAGATCGGATGGGATGTAATGCAGAAGGCAACCAATCTTGATTAACAAAATATAAACTAATATGAGGCTTAACCTGTAACAACACCTTAAGAATATACAAAGGCTTAACGGCTCCATGGTAAGAAGTAAAATCTTCTGGGGCTGGAGCAACAGCACAGTGGGTAGGGCATTTGCCTTGCACGCAGCCAACCCAGGTTCGATTCCCAGCATCCCATATGGTCCCCTGAGCACCGCCAGGGGTGATTCCTGAGTGCAGAGCCAGGAATAACCCCTGTGCATTGCTGGGTGTGACCCAAAAAGCAAAAAAAAAGTAACAATCTTCACCAACTTTCTTCTAAACAACATAAAATAACATTCTGAGGGCCTATATTGGGGCAGGTTTAAGGGGTAGTTGGAAAAACTGAATATAATGGTGGTGGGAGGTGCAATGGCTGGGACTGGTGTTGGAATGCTGAATATCTGTAACAAATCATCATGAACAACTCTGTAAACCACCGTGTGGCTTAGCTGTGTGGAGTCTGCACATTTGCACATTCTGCCTACATCTGTGTGGGTTTCTCTCTGCACTCCAGTTCCTCCCACGTCCTGAAAACGTGCACAGTAGGAACATGAGTGTCAAAGCTGTCCCAGGATGAGTAAGTGAGTGAGTAAGTGGGTGCACTAATGAACGGTATCCTGTTCAGGGTTGTCTCCACCCTGTTCTGGGCTGCCACGACTGAATTCTGCCACCTACAACCCTGAATTAAGTGAAGAATGAATGATGCCAAATTATTATTTAATACCACAAGTGTTTGGGGCTCATTATTTAAGTATGATGATGCTTTGTGACCAGAAATGCTCTACAGGACTTACTGCCTGTTGACACCAATTAGCCTACAGCAAAATTGGTTTTGTTGAACACTTTTTAAAAAAAAAACTCAGTTTCTTAGAACCTACCAATGATGTTAAGTAAGGAAGTACTATAGAAAATGCTAAAGTTCATACATACTTTGAAGCAAGTACAATTTACCAACTAGTACAAATCTATATTAACCTTCACCTATGGTAAGTTTTATTTCTAAAAAGAAAATTCACAAGCATCATGCTGACAACTATTCTCCAAGAAAATAGTAAGAGAACAATCTTACTGTTCACCTTCTTACCATCAGAACAAAGAAGCAAAATATGCAGACATACATCCAAAACAAAAATGGCATTATGGAAGCAGTAAGCACTGCACTGCACTGTAGCACTGTCCTTCAGTTGTTCATCGATTTGCTCAAGCAGGCACCAGTAACGTCTCCACTGTGAGACTTGTTACTGTTTTTGGCATATCGAATAAGCCATGGAAAGCTTGCCAGGTTCTGCCATGCGGGCGAGATAAATGGCTGGAAAATTGTTGGCAGGCTAGGAATATAGCTCAGCAACTAACGACATGCCTTGCACATCTGAAGTCCTGCATTTGACCCCCAGCATCACAAAAAAAGAAAAAAAGAGAACAAAACAAATGTGACAAATACGTATTGGCCAGCTTCTAAACCAAACTCTGCATTTAAATTAAGGGGCACTGCATCTAAATTGAGGGACCAGAGAGATGGTACAGCTGGTAGGGCGCTTGCCTTGATTATAGCAGACCTGAGTTTGATTCCAGATATCCCATATGGTAGTGGTTCCTGAGCAGAGTCAGGAGTAAGCCCTTACCACTGCTGGGTGCGCTCCAAAAACAAATAAACAAGAATAGATTTTACACATTTTCCACATGGAAAGTCTTAAGAATTTAAGTATTTCAGCATTTAAATTTTTAACCTCTCTGATTCTATTTTCCTATAATAGTAAACACTTAAAAGTTGTGCTATCCTCTTTACAATAGCCAGAATCTGGAAAAAACCTGAGTGCCCGAGAACAGATGACTGGTTAAAGAAGCTTTGGTACATTACACAATGGAGTACTATGTAGCTGTTAGAAAAGACGAAGTCACGAAATTTACATACAAGTGGTACTACATGGAAAGTATCATGTTAAGCGAAATGACTCAGAAAGAAAGGGATAGACATAGAAAGATTGCATTCATCTGGGGAACATAAAGTAACAAAATAGGAGACTAACACCCAAGAATGGCCGAGATTAGTACCAGGAATTTTACTCCATGACCTGGAAGACAACCACACATACTAGGGGAAAAGGGAGCTCAGATAAAGAGGGGAACACCAAATAAAGGTGTTGGGAGGATCCTCCCAGGATGGGAGAAGCATGCTGAAAGTAGACTATAGACCAAACACGATTGCCACTCAATATCTTTTTTGCAAACCACAACACCCAAAAGGAGAGAGAGAACAGAGGGGAATACCCTGCCACAGAGACAGGGTGGGATGGGGGGATGGGGGGTGGGAGGGATACCGGGATCTGCGGTGGTGGGAAATGGACACTGGTGGAGGGATGGGTATTTGACCATTGTATAATTGAAACCCAAGCACAAAAATGTGTTAAGTCTGCAACTGTACCTCATGATGTCTCACTATTAAAAAATTTTTTAATAATAAAAAAAAATTGTGCTATCTTCCAGACACAAGTGTGTATCTACTTACAACAAACCTTGTCTAGTTATAATACTTACACATCAGCTTTGAAGTTTAAAAGCATAAACCCTGCATTACAAACTGTATTTAATGTTACATATATGTGAAGCCTAAATATACATGGAAGCCATGAAAGCAAAACCAATAAAAATGTACTATTTAGGGGCCAGAGTGATAGTCACAGTGGATAGGATGCTTGCCTTGCACGCATCTAATTCAAGTTCAATCCCTGGCACCCCATATGGTTCCCTAAGCCTCACCAGGAGTGATCCCTGAGTGCAAAGCCAGAAGTAAGTACTGAATTCAGCCAGTATGGCCCCAAAACAAAACATAATCAAAAGCACTCATTTTATTAACTATCCATTATAAAAGGACTCTTCAATTTAAAAAAAAAAATCATCTACTGATTCACTGCTAAAAGCATACATCTGGATATTAATAATTAAATCTTAAAAATTAGATGAGGGGCTGGAGCAATAGCACATTGGGTAGGGCTTTTGCCTTGCATGCGGTTGACCTGGGTTCAATTCCCAGCATCCCATTTGGTCCCCTGAGCACTGCCAGGAGTAATTCCTAAGTGCAAAGCCAGGAGTAACCCCTGTGCATTCCCAGGTGTGACCCAAAAAGCAAAAAATAATAATAATAATAATAACAATTAGATGCAACTTTCTCAAAGATATCTTAATAGCTATACTTCTGAAAATCAGAGATCAAATACATAAAATGTGGCATGTCTTACAGCAGATGCTAACTGTTCTTCTGTCATATCTTCTACAAAGACAGTTTTAGCCGATGGTTCCTCAGGAAGAGCATCTGCTGAACCCATCATTAGTAAAGTCATTCCCTGTTTAAAAAAAAATAAAATCATAAAAATGTTCTGAAGTTAATCATATTTATGTACAGTGAAGAAACCAGATACAGAAAAGCACATATTGCACGTTCGTATTTGCCAACACAGGTAAATCTATCTGGGGTGACAGATAAGTTCTATGTAGGACTGTGGTGAAGATTAAGCAATTCTAAATATACGTAACACCATTACATTGTTAAATAATAAAAACAAAGTACTCCAGAACAGTACGATAGCACAGCGGTAGGGCGTTCGCCTTACACGCGGCCAACATGGCCGACCCGAGTTCGATTCCTCCGCCCCTCTCGGAGAGCCCGGCAAGCTACCGAGAGTATTCCATGCCAGACACAGTAACAACAAAGTCTCCAATGGAGACGTTACTGGGCCCGCTCGAGCAAATCGACGATCAACGGGAGGGCCTTTACCTTTTACCTTTACCTTACTCCAGAACAGGTCACCTGCTTCTCTGCAAAGACCCAGTAGAAAATTTCTGAGTGGCAGGCCTTATGGTAGTATCAGCCTACATAAACTCATCGAACTGTACACTAAAAATAATGTAAATGATGCCTCAATAGAGCTAAGTGAAAAACTACACATTAAAATATTGAGAATGTCGACAATATTAAAAAGGAAGAAATCCCTCAATTAATCATTAAGACTCACTAGCATCAAAAAAAAAAAGACTCACTAGCATCATTCATTAATCACCTAATAAACTAAGCACTAATAATGTTCTTTCAATGAGTGTGTATTGTAGAACATTTACATGTTTGAAGTGGGTAGGTTTGAAAATATCAAACCAAACACATAAAATGACTCTGAAGCATCCAATGTGGAGCCAAAGCAATAGAACAGGTGAACAGAAACTAGCCTAGCCTTGCACATGGTCAACAGGGTTCAATCCCAGGCACCCCATGAATCCCCAAGTCTCACTCCTGAGCACAGAGCCAGAAGTAAGACCCAGCACCACCATGAGCAGTCCAAAAACAAAGGAGTATCCACTGGGTTACAACTTAACACTTTACTAATCTAAGGGAATACTCACAGTCAATACAAATGTAACATTCCACATAACAGAAGGACAATGAAGATACTTTACCCTAATCTCATTAACCTGAAATGAGCACTGGGAATGTCTTATTTATCTCACTCATTATCACTGAAAATATGAGACAAAGGTCAGAGAGGTCCCAGAAACACACCAAATTAGATGGGAAATTAAAATAGAAATCAACTAGGATCAACAAACAAAAACCGTTAACACAGAAGGCTCAACTAGCAACAGTCCTCCTACAAGGACTTAATGACTCCAAAGTGAGATATAATAATTTTCACAGATTTTCCTTTACTGACATAAATTTTGATAATTCCATTAGCTATTTAGTTGTAACAAGCAATATAACATAAATTATTTTGTGCCTGCTATGGGGACAGGCCCAGGGAGTATCTAACACTCTCCCGCGATTCCACCTCTGTCACTTTGTGGTGGGAATGGTGTTGGAACACCAAATGCCTAGAAAAAATGGATCATGAACAATTTTGTATAGCATGTGCAAAAATAACAGAAAAAAATACTACAACAAAATCACTAGAAGATGCAAGGAATAGATATAAACATGGAAGACAAATGTAATGCATTTTGATATAATTTAAAAACTGCATTTTAAGTATTTCTAAAATACTTACACTTTTTATTTTGATATTTCCCCAATCATCATCCTGTTTTAAAAACAAAGAAAAAAAATTTAATGACTTCTGTCTGTACAATCTGCATGTAATTTAATAAACTCGTTTTAAGATACTTCAAAATAGAATCTTTTTTTCTATAGGAGAATTACTAAGTTACTACCAGTTTCCTGTTGCTTTTGCTTTTGTGGGGGCTGATTATTAATTATGTTCAGGGTCTATTCCCAGCTATGGACTTCGGTCTACTCCTAGTGAGTTCCAAAGAACATGCCGTACTAAGACTAAACCCAGGCCTCCTGCATGCAAAGCAGGCACTCAGTCCTTTAAGCTATCTATCTCCCCAGCCTTACTAATTAAATATTTTTAAAGGGTGGGGAAACACGTGCTGAAGCCAATCATTCTAACAAATGCCTAAATTGCATCATGAAATACACTCCAAAGCACGGTAAATTTAGAGGCCCCTAACATACACTTGACTGATTACAAATGACAAGATGCTAATTTTCTGCATATTTGGAACCAACAGCTATAACCAGCTTATGTAACAAAAAATGAAGAGAAACTTATGAAATAAGGCTCTATATTAAAGTGATTATATAATTTATCTCAAACCGAGACACTATCAAGAATGAAAGTGGATTAAAAAAAAAACAAATCATGCCAATCAAGGGCTAGAATGACAGCACAGGGTTTTAGGCACTTCCTTCACCAAGGTTTCCTTCACCAAGGTTAATTCAATTCAATTCCCAGCACCTGGTATATATAGTTCCCTGGCACTTTCAGGAATGATCCCTGCACACAAAGCCAGGGATAAGCCTGGAGCACAGCTGTGTGTGGGCCAAAAACAAACAAAAAAACGTTTGCCAGACAGGGGAGTCCTGGCAATCCCTACAATTCTGCTTATGAGGTCCCTATTTTAAAAATAGAATTATGCCAAAGAGTAAGCCTGACTTAACATACTACCAGAAGCAAACTAACCCTTAATTATATTCAATGAGAGAACCTTGCTTTAAGGAGAATCCTCCCATAATCCAGGAAGTTCTGACTTCTCCCTTCTGTTACCTTCTCTTAAAATCTTTTCCTTTTCTTGTTTCTGTCTTTGGGCCAGACCCAGCAGCGCTCAGGCTTAATCCTGACTCTGAGCTCAGCGATCACTCCTGACATGGGGCTCAAGGACACACTATGTGGTGCCAGGGATCTAATCCAAGTGAGTTGTGTGTAAGGCAAGAGCCCTACCCGCTGTACTATCTCTCCCTTTCTTTGTACAAAATGTGCCAAACATTCAGGCTCACTAATTACCTCTTTGGACTACCTCTTTCAAAGTGGAATGATGACTTCCTAAAATCTCTTCGAGGTTTAGAAGATATTATTGCTCATTATAAGGATTCATAATTATACACACTCCCCCCAAGATCACCTATCTAAGATGATACAAAGCTATGAAATAAAACTTATCTGAACATGTAAACTGCAAGACCCTACTTGCTGCTATTTAAGTCTCTGGTGTTGCCTTCTCACCTATAACTTTCATTTCTGAAATTCAGGGCTAGAGACAGTTCAGGGGTAAGGTTGTATTGCTTTGCATACAGCCAACCTCAGTTTGGTCTCCAGACCACATATGGTCAAGAGTTATCCCTGAGCACAGAGTGAGATATCCTTAGCATCACAGGGTATGGCTCAAATACCCCAGAAAATTAAAAAATAAAATTTACTTAATTAAAAAAAATTTACTCCTATGTTCATTTCAGCACTATTCACAGAAGCCAAAATTTAGAACAACCCAAGTGCTCCAAGAACAAGTGACCTGATAAAGAAGTTATGGTGCATGTACATAGTGGACTACCCAACAGTAAGAAAACAAGTCATGCAATTTGCTGATACATGAATGGATCTGGAGAGGATGGGTGAAATGACTCACAGGGAGAGGGTCAAAGAATAAGATCACTCATATGTATGCTATAAAGAAACACAGCAGGGGAGTAACCAAAAGCAACAGAAACAAGCTTGCCTGTTGGGGCAACAGGGGTCCTAGGTCACAGAAGGCTCCACTGTGACAGTGATAGAGGGAACTGGTTACTCTGGACCAGGACTAGGTACTGAAAAAAGGTAAAGTGATATGCATAGACACTCCATCAGTAACAGTATTATAAACCATAATGCCTAAAAGGGGGAAATGGAAAAACAAGTGCCTGCCAGAGAAGCAGGCTGGTGGGATAGGAGGCAAACCAGAGCACTGGAGGAAGTAGTTGACACTAGTGAAGGGATTGGTACTGAAACTAAATCATGAATAACTTTGTAACTTTGGAATTCACAGTGATTCAATTAAAAAAAAAATTTTAAAAAAACACATACTGCTTTGTTGTTTTTGTTTTTGGGTCACACCTGGTGGTGCTCAGGAGACCATATGGGGCATCAGGTGCCAAACCTGGATCAACCACATGCAAAGCAGGCACCTTATCTATTTTACTGTCTCTCTGGCCCCTGTTCTGCATTTTTAAAAATTTATTTATTTTCTGGTTTGGGGGCCACACCAAGAAGCACACAAGGCTTCCTTCTGGCTCTGCATTCAGGGATCATTGCAAAGGTTGGAAACTGAACCGGGGTCAGCCGTATGTTAGGCAAAAACTCCTACTCACTGCACTATGGCTCTGGCACCGTATTTTGCATTTAACAAACAAAATTTTCCAAATCTCTAACAGAAATGCTAAGGGCATAAAAATAGATTTTATACTGCTTAATAAAATTAAAACTTCCAACATGCCTTTACTGAAAAGAGATTAAAAACAATAACAATAGAGGCCCAAGAGATCGTACAGACAAGTAAGGCACTTGCCCTGCAGAGGAGATCCAGCTTTAATCCCTGGAATCTAATATAACAGGTCCCCCTCCAGGAGTTACCTCTGAGCACAGAGCAAGGAGGAAGCCCTGGGCAGAACAGGCTGTGCATCACACTTACTAAAAATGTATATATACAGATAACTGGGAGATACCTAACTGCTCTGATCCCTAGAGAGGTAGTCACTGATATAATCAATGATTTACAAAATTAAAGCAAATGATTTTACAGGCAAGCTACCAAGAGTATCTCGCCAGTATGGCAAAGCCTGGCAAGATCCCCGTGACGTATTTGATATGACAAACACAGTAACAAGTCTCACACTGGGCCCGCTCGAGCAAATCAATGAACAACGGGAGGACAGTGTTACAGTGCTTTTACCGGAGGAAAACCTCCTAAACAGTGTTCAAGGGGACTGTGGGCAATTCCTGGTAATACTCAGTTATACAGGACAGATGGTTCACTGCTGGGTCCGGCAATACAGTACTCAGGTCCAGAGATGCTGGGACCAGCAGGAATAAAACTCAGGGCCTACATGCCAGCAAGCATGGCATATGCTCGAGCTCTTTGAATTATCTCTCCAGTCCCTAAAATAACATTAATGATGCTTTCATAATGCAGTGATTTAATTTTGAGGGTGGGGGCTGGAACATACCTGACAGTATTCAAGGGCTACTTCTGGTTGTGCTCAAAGGACAATATATCAACCAGGGATAGAACTTGGGGGAGGGGTGTACAGCAGTTTGCAAGGCAAGTAATTTACCTCATGTACTCTCTCTAGTCCTAATAGAGTGCTCTGTACTTGCAGTACAATTACTACAATGTTCTTTTACCTCAGATTATATAGTGCTTTCAACAAATACAAATATCTGAAAAGCTACAATTTCTCATGTAATTTTTAGTAATTATGTAAAAAATTTTATGTAGTGAAAATTTGACCAAAACTTTACCTTCAATGTTCCTCCTTTTACCATAACTTTCTGTCTGGCCGGTTGGACTCCAGTTAGTGCAAAAAGCTGAGCCTTGAACACCATTGGAGGCTCATCAGTGTTCAATTCTACACCTTCAAATTTCTCCTTTCCCCATTTCACAGTAACTGCAAAGGAAACATGATTTATTTTATTTTTTCTTATACAATGCCAAGACTTTAGATTTAGAAGGTCCACAGGAGTCTATTAAGCTAGTCTGTAAAAAGGAAAATTGTTACCAATCATCTTTTTATACTCAATCCTTCCTAATCAGGAATGACTTCAATGCAGCAGATCCTGAATAAAGTTAATGAATCTAACTTAGTTTCTCACTTTATAAGCAAAGAAACTGAGACTTGTTATAATTTATTGTCACAAAATTAGCAAATATTCAAGTTTTCTTAAATACTCTGCCAAGTATGATCACAATGAAATATTTTCCAGAAGTTAAAAAAGTTGGATCAAATTTCAAAATGTCATTAAAATAACTGTTAAACTCAGACTCTTGAAACAAAAAAGCGAAAGAAAAGTTAGAAAAATAATTCTGACTAACAACTTACGTACTACAGGTAAAGGAACACATGCTATGGAAATAAGATGTGGGAGAACTGAAAAGAAGTTCATTAGTTAAGAGGGAGTCAAAGAGGCGCATCTGGTGCCCAATCTCCCTTTTTGAGATGTGTATGTTCACACGTTCATTACTAACACTGGGATGTGCATTGGGGCTACCTCTCCACTCTGAAGAAACCCACATTCTCTCTTGAGCACCTTCCTTCTCTCTCTCTCTCTCTGTCTCTCTCTCTCTCTCCCCCTCCCTCCCTCCCTCTCATCCCCCCCTCCCTGCCCCTCACACTCTCTTACTCCCCCTTTCTCAGAACTTCCAAATAAATCTGTTACGCTTCAAAAAACAGAGGTGATCAAACATTAAGAATCCAGGACCAGAGGCGAGAGAGATAGTACAGCAGGTAGGGTTTTTGCCTTGCAAGTGATAGACCCAGGTTCAATCCCTGGCACCCCATATGGTCTGCCGAGCACTACCAGATGTAGCCCAAAACAACAACAAAAGGATCCAGGGCTAGAATGAGAGTATAGTATGTAGAGCAGCTGTCTTGCCACGCAGCTGACCCAGATTTGAGCCTTGACATTCCATAAGGTTCCCAAGTACTACCAAAAGTGGTCCCTGAGTACAGAGCCAGGAGTAAGGTCTGAGTTAGGCTGGGTATGACCCCAAAACAAACACACACACAAATAAAACATTAAGAATCCAAAGATTGTTTATATGCCCATGCTATGCATATTTGTAATTACACATAAACAATATACATATAATAGAAATCCTACTTCACAACCAGTCGGGTATCATAAATTTTTGTTTTAAAAAACAAAAAATAGGGCTGATTCCTGCCACTTCAAGCAAGCTCCCTCAGGAATCACTACACCTGGTCTTGGTAGCCTCAGAGCACTAACCGTTAAACTGGATCATTGAGGGTGCCCCAGAGAACCTAGCTCCATTGAGTATTTCTCACTACCTCCCGCAAATCTCTTTAAGCACTGGTAAGGATGTGAGCAAACTAAAACCTTGGTATACTGCTGGTGAGAGTGTAAAATGGTCCAGTCACTGTGGGAGTTCCTCATGAAATTACTAGAATAACCAGATGACACTTTGAGCATAAACCTCAAAGCAGGGAAAGCAGGAACTTAAACTGATATTTGTATATCCATTTTTTTTCTTTTCTAAGAGGGTCATCTTCCATGGCCACACTGAGTTATTAAGGGGTTATTCCTGGCACTGTGCTCAGGAGAAGCTCACTCTTAGCAGTAGTGGGGAACCATGTGTACAGGGATCCAGACCTTATGCATGCAAAGCCTGCGCACAGGCCACTGAGCTTGCTCTTGGGCCCTGTTGGGTGATTTTCAAAGTAGCGTTATACACAATGGCCTAAAGATGGGAGCAAACCAAGGATCTTTCAAAAGATCAACGAACAAGTTGTGCTACATGCTTAGAAGAGATATTATTCAGTCTTAAAAACTAATAAAACTCTTGCACATTACAACACAGAATGTCTGGTTGCCAAGAACCTGGAAGGAAAGTAAAGAAGTCAACTGTTCAATGACTACAGCGTTTCCTTTAGAAGCAAGAAAGTTCTGGAGGCACATGAGGAGGATGGGTGTCAGACAATATGAACAGATTTAATGCTAAAAATCGTACATCTCTTAATGCAGAACCCAGCAGGTTGGAGCAGAAAAGTGAAACGACTATGCGTTAATCCAGGCCATCAAGTCTGCCAGAGGGGAAAGGGTGTTGCCCCATTCGCCCTCTCTTCTCTGGAAAGAAGGATGGCGGCCGCATGGGAGCCTTGTGGACAGCAGGTATGAGCCGGGGGTGTGGGAGCGACTAAAACCTCATGGGAAGGGGGGCGTTCCAGTCCGTCCTTCACGCCCTACTGAGGTCACCAGTTGCCCCCCATGAGCGGCTCTCCAGCACGGCCACAGCCCCAGAAGCACAAGGACTTAATGCAGAACCCAGCAGCTTAGAGCAAAAAAGTGAAAGGACTATGCATTAATCCAGGCCATCATGTCTGCCCAGAGGGGAAAGGGTGTTGGTCCCTTCCGCCCTCCTCCCTCTGGAAAGAAAGATGGCGGCCACATGGGAGCCTTGTGGACAGCAGGTATGAGCCTGGGGTGTGGGGGTGACTAAAACCTCATGGGAAGGGGGGCGTTCCAGTCCATCCTTCACGCCCTACTGAGGTCACCAGTTGCCCCCCACGAGCGGCTCTCCAGCACGGCCACAGCCCCAGAAGCACAAGGACTTAATGCAGAACCCAGCAGCTTGGAGCAGAAAAGCTAAAGGACTATGCGTTAATCCAGGCCATCATGTCTGCCCGGAGGGGAAAGGGTGTTGGTCCTTTCCGCCCTCCTCCTTCTGGAAAGAAAGATGGCGGCCACATGGGAGCCTTGTGGACAGCAGGTATGAGCCGGGGGTGTGGGGGCGACTAAAACCTCATGGGAAGGGGGGCGTTCCAGTCTGTCCTTCACGCCCTACCGAGGTCACCAGTTGCCCCCCGCGAGCGGCTCTCCAGCACGGCCACGGCCCCAGAAGCACAAGGACTTAATGCAGAACCCGGCAGCTTGGAGCAGAAAAGTGAACGGACTATGCGTTAATCCAGGCCATCATGTCTGTCCGGAGGGGAAAGGGTGTTGCCCCAGTCGCCTTCTCCTCTCTGGAAAGAAAGATGGCGGCCGCATGGGAGCCTTGTGGACAGCAGGTATGAGCCAGGGGAGTGGGGGCGACTAAAACCTCATGGGAAGGGGGGCGTTTCGGTCCGCCCTTCACGCCCTACCGAGGTCACCAGTTGCCCCCCACTAGTGGCTCTCCAGCACGGCCACGACTCCAGAGCACAGACACCAATTTCTTAACTATCTGACTTTCAGTAGAAATACTTCCAGGGTCAATAAGTAAAATAGCAGAAATCCAAAACCAACATTTAATTCTTGAACCCAGCTGTAGAAAGCAAATCACTTCACAATGCTTTTTCAGCATGTCTGATTGGGGGGGGGGGGGTAAACTCTAAATAATAGTGGTGAATCTTTTATTGAAACAATCTAATCAAAGCGGATAGAGTGTTAACTAGAATTCATCTGCCTCACAGGGACGGGGAGGGGTGGGGGGGTGGGGTTTTATTGGGGTTCTTCATGGGAAAAAATAAGTATTGGTAAAGGGAAATGTGTTTGATATTTGCATGACTGAGACCTAAACCTGAAAGCTTTGTAACCTTTCCCACGGTGATTCAATAAATAAATTAATTTAAAAAATTTAAAAAATTTAAAAAAAAATAAAGTTGTTATTGTTGGTAGCCTAAAAAAAAAATCGTACATCTAAGTTGGGGAGATAGCGTTAACAGGCTAGAGCACACATATGTTTTGCATGCAGGGAGCCTGGATTGGAGACCCAGCATCACTTGAATCCCAAGCACTGCCAGGAGAAACGACAATCCAAGAGTAGTAGCCCCTTAGTGACTGGAATGATAACACAGCAGGTAGGGCATTTGCATTGCACCCAAAAGGGTAGTAGCACCTTAGTCCACAGCATATAACTCCATTCCCCCAAAAAATAATTAAATCAGCCTCATCAGATAGCTTATTTTTGAAATATGTGAAAATAAGGACATAATTTTAGAGTAATATTTACACCAAAAACTTTACATCTTTCTAAAATGAGTACACATCTATAGATGTCTGATTTAACTAATAGTTGTGTGATTTCTAACTTCTAAACATAGAGGAATTTGGCAAACTGACCCAGATTCCAAATCCCTACTCTTTTATTAGTTCAATTACTCAAGATTAGTAACAATCATTAGGGAGATTCTCTATGATCTTACATTCTAATAAGGAAAGAAAGACAAGTGGGTGGTTAAAATTATTAATGTAACATGAGTCTTATAAATGCTGCTATAAGAACACAGAGGAATATTCCATGAGAAAAGAGTCAACTTTGAGCTGAGATCTCAAAAAATTAGGTACTAAGAGGAGTGACAGAATAAAAGTACTGGGGGGGTATGGGAGGGGGGAGGATAAAAACAATGAAAGGGACCAGAGAGACAGAACAGTGGGTAGGGTGCTTGTCTAGCACACAGTCAACCCAGGTTCCATCCCTGGCACCCTACATGGTTCCACAATTCCACTAGGAGTGATCACTAAGCAAACACAGAACCACAAGTGATCCCTGAGCACCATTAGGTGTGGTCAAAAATAAGAAGAAAAAAAAAATGAAAAGCAGCATAGTGTGTTCTGAGATATATGTCCCAGGATGAAGAAATAGCTGAAACTATAACTAGATCCAGCCAGGGAAGACAATATCATTACACTAAAGCATAACGGCTTTATGTCATAGAAAATGTGTAACCCCTAAATCAAGGTTTTCATTTTCATCTTGATCTCACTGAACACTAGATGAGCAGCAGGAAAAAAAGGTCTGACGGAGGCATAACTATAATCACTGAATCTGTACTATTACAAGCAAAAGATGAGAAAACACTAAACCAGAACAATATTGGAAATAATAAAAAGGAGCCTGTCTTATTTAGCTACCTAGGTGAAAGGAAAATTACTTCAATGCTTTACCTCCCCGGAAAGGAGATTTCTACCAACATCCCACTTCTGCTTTGAAGATTACAAGGCAATATGTATAAAACCGCCAAGTTTCATGCCAGGCACATAGGTGTCCACTAATTTTGCCGCACTGATTTTAAAATCTGAGTATGAAATTCTTTAATTTCCCACTAAAACTGGTAACCAAAACAAATTAGGGGGTCATGAGCCACAGAACCGTGGGCAGGGTATTTGCCTGGTCAGCACCGGCTGACCAGGTTCAATCCCCGGCACCCCATCATGAGTAATCCCAGAACTCAGAGCCAGGCCTAAGCCCTGGGCACCGGGTCTGACCCAAAAATCAAATCAAACCAAACCAGAAGGGCAGATTTTCCAAAGACGGAAAATACACATTTTCTACGTGGAGATGACGCCTCAACTCTGCCTTGCTTGGGCAGGATCTCCCTCGCACGCTCCTGGTGAAATGCTGAGCTCTCCAGGAGGTTGAGTCATCGCTACCAAGCAAAGTTCTAGAACATCAAGAATCTACCTCGGGACGAAGCATCCCTCGTGGCTCCTACCGTGCTGGGTAAAGGGCGATCTTCGCAAAAGGCGCCGGGAGAGCCCAGAGGCTGGCCTGTCGGGGAGTCGCGCCACGGCCAGTCGGAGCCACCGCGTCTATTCGAGGGGCCATTTTGAACTACGAGGAGGAAGGCGCAAGGTGCACTTGGGCCAAGTGAAAATGCGATGTCCGACCGCCGACCGACACGTAGAAGTCGAGCGCGTCAGGAAGCAGCGACGCCCGCAGACGGCCAGCCTTGGGCGCGGGGCCGGCGCCCGCTCACCCGACCCTCGGGCACAGGCGCCTGCGACCCCGTCGAGGGCAGGAGAAACGCGCGAGCGGCCGAGCAGCGCCCGGACGGCACCGCAGCTGCACGCCGCCGGCCCCCCGCGACCGACACGCCCTCGCCCGTCGCCGAAGTCCAGGCGGCCCCAGCCGCGGTTCTGCAGAGTCACGGCCCCGCGGCCGCGCCCGCTGCGGCGCCCTCCCCGCCCGGCCTCGCTCCCGCGCCTGCAGGCCGCGGCCCCCTCCCCTCCCCCGCCCGCCTACCCGAGGCCTAGGCCGGACCCGTCGGGGCGCGGGAGCTCACCCGAGTAGAGCGGCATGGCGGGGCCGAGGGCGGGCGGCGGCGGCGGGGCAGGAGCGGGGCCCGGCACAGGCGGCCTCGGGAGACGAACGCGGAGACGCGGCAGCGGCGGCCCAGGCTGAGGCGCGGTGGTGGCGGCTCCGCTGCGACGCGACTCATTCAAACCGGCCCCTGGCGATGACGCAGCAGCACGCAGCTCCCGGGCCGCCGCGCGGGCAGGGGGGAGGAGGGAAGGGGCGGGGGGTAGAGCGGAGGGGGCCCGGAGCGGGAGCGGGGCGGGGCAGGGGGAGGCGGGCGCGGGGCGGGGGCGTGGCCCGAGAAGGGGGGCGGGGCGGGGCCGGGAGGGTCAGGCGGGAGGCGGGGGCGGGACGGGGCCGAGCGGGGCAGGGGAGACGGGGAACGGGCAGGGGGCGGGAGAGGGGCGGGGCCCGAGATGGGGGGCGGGGCAAGGGAGGCGGGGCGGAGGGCGGGGCGGGGCCGGGCAGGGTGAGGCAGGGGCCGGGCGCGAGGCGGGGCGGGGGTGGGGAGGGGGGGAGCGAGGGAGCAACGGGCGTAAAGGAGGGCGGGGGGGGGAGGCGGGGGGGAGGAATGGCGGAAGTGGGCAGCGGGGGTGGGTTCGGGGCAGGGTCCGGGCGCGGACAGGGGCCGGAGGCGAGGCGGGGGCGGGGTGGGGGCGGGCCCTAGTAGGGGCGGGGGTGCGGCGAGGCGGGGCCCGGACGAGGGAGCGGGGCCGATGGCAGGGCGGGGCGGGCAGGGGGCAGGCGAGGTGGGGGCGGGGCGCGAGTTGAGGCGAGCCTCGCCCCGGAGCGGGGAACGGGCGGCGGGGGCGGGGCCGGGCCCGGCAGGTGACGCCTGCGCACTGTGGAGCCGCCGGCGAAGGCCGCTCCTCCCCTCTGTCGATAAGAACCTGTCATCCCCTCCTTTTATAAAGCGACTGGATCGTTCGATTCCCTCCTTCTCACTCGCCCCCCCCCCCTCCGCCAAGCGCCTTGCCAGGTGTGATCCCTGAGCACAAAGTCATGAGCAAGCCCTGAACAAGCTGAGTGTGCCCTCCAATCTTTCCCCAGACCCAGAACAACCGCGACTGAGAAGTGGGTGTGGATCGTGGCTCAGGCGCTCCAGCGGTTACTTGCCTTGCGCCTGGGGGTCGCAGAGTCTGACTACACCCGGGGATGCCCAGTCTCCGAGCAGATCTGCCCGCAGCACCCCCAAGGGCCTTAAAACCAAGCTCGAGAGACCGGGTCTCCGGAAATGAAAGATTTTGTCCTTTTTTGTTCATGTGTCCTGTAGAAAACGGAGACCTCTAGACCTCTCTGCTCCCTGGATTCGACCTTCTCATGAAGGAGAGTAAGTTGCACTTTAGGAGCTTGGCGAGTAAAATTAATAGCAGGCCTAGGGAACATTGCTCTGGAGCGCGAGATTGGTTGGTAGGCAGCCTCGGACTCAAGCCGGCCCCTGAGCACCTGCAGCGACACGCTGGAGTAGCCCCTGAGCGTCAGCAGGCTGTCCCCAAGCCAAGCACTTAGTGGATCGCGTTCTTCCTTTTTGACAGCATTACCTGTTCGTATTACTGTTGACTGTAACAACAGACTCAAGGCTCGACAAGCGCCAGGTCTCCTGTCTCCAACCCGGTTCTACCATCTGTCTTATCGCTTTTGTTATTCTGTTGTTCTTGTACCAGGTCCCTATCTTGGACTGTTCCTCCCACTTTTCCTCCAGTTATTCACACTCCATCCCCACCCCATACATTACTAAACCTTAGAAAATCCTCCATTTAAGATTATAGAGTTAGTATCATAGAATTAAGAAAGAAGTGGAAATCAGTAAGACACATTCAGAGGCAGGAGGGTTTTTACTGGACAGAAAGTATCAAAAACACAAAGCAATCAAATTCATAAACTCAACATTTATTTATTGCCTGTCCTGGACCTTCTATTCCAGGAGCTCGGTCTATCAGAACCTGTAGACATAATAATTGAAATATTTAATAACCGTGTATCTAAATAATATGTAGGTGGCTGGGTAGACTAGAGTAGAAGATTCAGGAGAAGGTCTGTGCAGGGAGATAATGGAGGCTGGGTCATTTGGTATGTTACTATAGAGGGCCTGAGTGGCAGGATAAAAAGTTGAGTCTGACTAATTGAGGTTTCTATTTTCTTAAATATATTTCTCATCACAAACAGGAAAAAAGTCATACTGAAATTTCCTTGTGCTCAGCTCTCTAGATGATCACTTTCTTTTTCCAAAGTTCTTAAATGGAAAAAAAAATTTAACATCTGTTAGTCAAGCAGAAAGACCAATTTAGCGTTCTCTATTTTTAAAATTAGTAAAGGGGGTGGGAGAAACAGTACAGTGGGTAAATACAACTCAGTGACTGACCATGGTTCAATACCCAGTACAGCATGTAGTCTCCTGAGCCCCAAAAGACATGTAAATAAAACTAGTAAAGGGTCAGGGGCTGGAGAGAGAGCACAGCGGGTAGGGCATTTGCCTTGCACGCAGCCGACCCAGGTTCGATTCCCAGCATCCCATATGGTCCCTGAGCACCACCAGGGGTGATTCCCGAGTGCAGAGCAGGAATAACCCCTGCGCATCGCAGGTGTGATCCAGAAAGCAAAAAAAAAAAAAAACCTATTAAGGGGTCAGAGATACAGCTCAGCACTAGAACACACTCTTGCCTGGGAGAAGCCTCAGGTTTTATTCATACCACATTTCCCCTACATACCAAGCAAGGAGTAGCCCACAAACATAGCCAAGTATGGCCCCACAATCCCCAAAATAAATACATACAAAAAAGTAGCAGCTCTTCCTCTCTTCCTCCTTATACTTTTAGCCATTGACTTTTTAAAACATAAAATAAAATTGTCCCATAATATAAAATGTTCATAAACTGGAGGGTTTTTCTACTTTTTGTAATATATTTCATGTGTTTTCCACAATCCACACATTAAAATATAAGAATATACAATCAGCTGATCAGTGGCTGAATAAATGCCAGTACTCCTACATTTAAAAAAAAAGTATATACATTTACACATATTCACATATAAGTATACATGTATGTACTCATTTATATATATAGTTATTTGTGTATGTATGATTTGGGGCCACAACCAATAGTGCTCAGGGCTTACTGATTGCTTGAGCTCAGGGATCACTCCAAATGGCACTTGGGGAACATAGGTGGTGCAGGGGATCGAACATGCCAGGCAAGCACCTTACCCTCTGTACTAGCTTTCTGACCCCATCATACTTTTTTCTTTTATATGTCTCGTATAAAAAATAGCTCTAGAATCTTATTTAAAATTCTGGTTAAAGGGTACTCTTACTGTTGCATCTTTTCAGGAAACTCTCCATGACTCACTGTCCCACAAATAGTAAAGATAAGCATGATTTGTGGGTTGATTTGGTGATTTATGATCTCTCCATTAGTAGGCTCTATCAGCCCTTTCTGGTAGTTTCATTCATAAAGACCTATTACCTGAATACATTGTTCCTCTAATGTTTCAAGTTAAGTTCTAATTATAACATATATGAAATACATCCTTGTTGGGCTGGAGAGATAATACAAGAGTTAAGGCACTTTCTTTGCAGGTCACCAATACTGGTTTGATCCCCTCTTATGAGCTCCACAAGGAGCAACCCCTGGAGCAGAACTAAGAGTGGTCCCTCACCCTAGAGTAATTCAGAATGTGGCAAAAAAAAAAAAAATAAAGAAAAACATAGTAGTATTTTTTCCCATAAAGACTCAGGTACTCAATACTCTAAACATTTTTTCATAACTCTAAACACGTTAAAATAGAAAAGCAGCATTTGGCTGTGAAGATAACCCAGAGGTCTACAGCCTATACTTTGCATGCTCTATATAGGCCCCTTAGGGTTTCCCTGGATCACTAGCAATCTGAATGTGGGCCAAAGGCAAAAAAAGAAGAAAGGAAAAGCAATCTATCTCTTTCCTCATTCATCACACCATTAATGGGGGAGGGGGACACTAGACAAGCAGCTAGTGCTCCTTACTCTGTTGTGAGGGGTCATTTCTGGCAGTGATCTAGAGACCATATGCAGTGCTGGTGATAAACCAGGGTCAGTCACATGCAAGACACGTGCCTTAACCCCAGACTTTCTCTCTCAATCTCTTGCTCATTCTGTCATACCACATGAACTCATAATCAATTAAAGGGTTTGCAGGATGATTTGAATAATAACCTAATCTGTCACTTTTTTTTTACTTTTTTTAATTGAATCACTGTGAGATAGACCCTTACAAAGCTGTTCAGGATTAGGTTTTAGTCATACAGTATTCCACACCCATCCTTCCACCAGTGTACATTTCCCAGCACCAGTGTCCCCCAAGTTTCTTCCAATTACCCCCATACCTCACACCCCAGCCTGCCTCTATGGCAAGCACTTTTCATCTCTGTCTCTGTGTCTCTGTCTCTGTCTGTCTCTCTCCTTTGGGGCATTATGGTTTGTGATACTGATACTGAAAGGTTATCAGGAATATCTGTTTACCTACTTTTAACACTCAGTTCTTGTTCAACATGATCATTCCCAGCTATTATTGTCATACTGGTCTCTTCTCTATCTTACCTACCCTCTGCCTCACACACACTTGTGGTTGATTCCAACCATTTATCAGTCCTCCTAGACTGTTTTCCCTTGCCATGAATGAGTCTTCTTTTAAATATTTTTATATACCACAAATGAATGCAGTCATTCTATATCGGTCCCTCTCCTTTTGACTCATTTCACTCTTTTCATCCCTCCCTGGCTTGGGAATGCTGACATTCTCTGGTCTAGTGCTTGGGGACTCTTTTACCACTGTACTGTATCTCTCTTGCCTTGCTTTTTATTTCTTTCACTTGTGTCTTTGCTCTCACTAGGATTTCTAGAACTGTGTTGATCTCTTAGTGGACCTTCTTTCAACTATCTTGCATTGTCAAGTATGATCTTACTTGACTTACACAAGATTATCACCTATGGCTTCTATTATGTCAAAATATGCCTTTCTTTTATAGGAGTAATTGCAGATGAAGTTTGGGGGTTCAGAACCATACCCAAATGGACCTGGAGGAAACCAGGGCCACACTTGGCAGTTTCCAGGGGTCTCATCTCTGTCACTGTCACTGTCCTCCCATTGTTCATCTATTTGCTCGAGTGGACCCAGTAACATTGTGAGACTTGTTAGTGTGTTTGGCATATCGAATACGTCCCGGGTAGCTTGCCAGGCTTTGCCATGTGGGCG